CTGGTTATTCTACTGGGTAAAACTTGGTAAACATTTTTACAGACCAGCCACACGACAACAGCTGAGGCATAATGTTGCTGGTCCTTTACAAAACATTTTATTTCTTTTTTTGGTTGAGGCAAAAGGCAATTCTCAAAATTAATCAGATGCAACTCAGTTCATCCTGAAACCAGAAACACACCAGCGGTTCCCAAAGCTGCAGCTCTGAATGTTGTTAAATGCCAAATTAAGCTTTAAATCATCTGAAATCTTTCTTGTTGCAGCTTTTCACAGTAGTAGGAAAATGGTTCATTGGTAGCTGAGGATGTTTGTATTTTATACATTTTGCAGAGTCCTAAGATCACCCAAGGCACTTCACAACACTTCAGTCATTCATCCATTCACACAAACATTTGCTCACTGGTGGCAATGAGCTACATGGAAGCCACAGCTGCCCTGGAGTGCACTGACAGAGGCGTGGCTGCAGAGCACAGGCGCCTTTTCTGGCCCAAGGACGGCGACTGAGCAAGGTGCAAACCTGCAACCCACTGGTTACAGGGTGGCCACTGTCGTCACCATTTTCATAACTAGCTTGTTTATTTAGCTATAATTCACAAATCTCTGTGTTTTGAAAGCTGGAACCAGTAGATTACCTCCTGGTGACCTTTGTTATGATTGTTCTGTTCAGAACGTTTTGACGCAAAAGTAAGGGCAAATACTAGAATGTCTGACTGGTGTTTGTTTTAAGCTGGAATAACAGTGTTTTTGAAATTTTCCAAATACAATCTTCCTAACAGCAAACTGTCTCATCTTCAGACCGAAGCCTAAAAATGAAGGAGAGATGAAATACCTCGACTGAATATATCAGAGCTTTGAATCCAATGCAGGAGAACCCACAGATGATGCTGCAGATGGCCAGCCTCCTGTGGAATTCGTTATACCGGAAAACTGCGCAAAATCCTCTTTTCGTGTGGTTTTCTTGATGATCAGCGTCGCTTTGATCAGCTGATCCTGGTGTGGTGGTCAGTGGGATATTAACCTCAGTTGGGAGTTCCATTTCTGCAAAACAAAAACCTCTCACTCTATAAACTGCGATAAAGCAATACTCGTGAACAGAGTCGCTACTCTTGGCCCTTTGGAGAAATAAATCTAGGGGTGAAAAATCTGTAAATCTAGCAAAAAAGACAGTTAGAAAAACAGAAGTGGAGCTGGAACTGAAGCGGAATATGCAATCTGATTGGTTGGAAGCGTCATGTGGGGCACTGTGCCAGCTAGTTGCAGAAATGAAAGGAGAAGCACTGCAGCCCAATATTGCCCAAAATGTTTAATCCGTTTGTTTATCCACAAGGAGGGTAAATTATTTTCCAGGACAACTCAAAAATTTCCAGGACATTTTGCAATTCCCCCCATTTTCCATGTGTTATCCATGACTGTAAAATTGGACTATCATTTTCCAGGTTTTCCAGGACGCGTGGGAACCCTGGTTACATTTGTGAAATGTTTCCTGTTTTGAGCTCATTGTAGTTATTAAGACTCTTTAAAGTCAGTTTACTCCATAAATACAAGCAAATCTTCCTAAAAGAACCTAGAAATGCGTTTAACCAACTTTGTTCACTGTAACAGTCAAGAAATATTTCCAGATTGTTTTTGTCTTCTCTGTTTGGGGTCCACTCTGATCTGTTTTCTCAAGCTCTTGACGGCAAATGTCACCTCTGAGTTAAAACATGTTCCTCCAAATATCCAGGCAGTGAGTCATGATGTGGAGACTTTTGAGGTCCTTGTTTTTGAAACAGAAAGCACCCTCTGATAGTTGCACGTTTAAAACCATAGCTGTAACAAAGTAGGTGTCCAACTTGCTTGGCTGGTATAGATAGTTACACTGAAAACTTGAAATGTTAGTTATTTGATCTTCACCTCAATCAAAGAGCAGCACACAAGCGTAGACATGCTGTTTTCTTCAGAAAACGTGACGGAGTGTTGCACAGGTCCTGTTGTGTAATATTAAACAGCCCAGTGAATCATTGGTCAAAAGGACTGGTTAAGTCCTCAGATGTGACCAGATCACACAACTAAACACAAGCTGATTGGAACAGTTTTTGTTTTTGTCTGTGCCGAGCAGTGGGTGACTGTCCAACCCAATCATTTTGATAATTTTACCAAATCTAATGTTTTTAATGAAATCAACCCCTGATTTGAAGGTTTACATAAAGTACAAACCTGATTATAAAGTACCGCATAAAATCCTCTTTGCGGTTTCAACTCTCAGCAAAAGGTTTGTCCCGTTTGAACCGATCAGGAATGCTGGTAGGTGTTTTATCTGTGTCACCTGAGATTCCCCCAACCTGCTACTTACAGTGTCCTCCTTTGAATGAGTAAAAATCCCTCGCTGAGACATCCAGACACAGTCCTTTTGAGGTGAAACAACTCCTCAGAGGGAAACTTGCCTCTCTGAAGGCTCAGTGACATATAAGTTGTTGAATGACAGGGAGGAGTGCTAACCGTTAAGTGAAACTCGGTCTGAAACTTCCATGCCCATTTACACTTGAAGAGGCTGTTCTGATTTTATTGAAAAACTTGTTCTGTAATAGTTCCTTTACTGTTGTGATCAAAAACATTTAATCTTAACTCTGAGGCTGCTCTGTAAATAGTTTTCAAATAAACAATACACATAGCAACTTCTGATCAAACTTAAAACAACGTATTGATGTAAACACCCACTTCCGGGTTAGGCCACGCCCACTCCGAGTACAGATACAGATAATTTAGACCAGGGGTCGGCAATCCGCGGCTCTGGAGCCGCATGCGGCTCTTCCATCCATCTGATGCGGCTCTCTGTGCTTGTAAAATAATGAATGGATATTTAAATAAAAAGCTTTATATTTTACTGCATTAATTTTACATCTGTATGCCAATTCTAAATGTAAAGATTGTCTGCGTAAACCTGAACAGATCCAACCCGGTCTGACTGTGAGACCGGGTTGACGCATCACGCTTGTGCGTAATCATAGGCGCTTTCTGAGCTGAAGAGGATGTGAGATTCTGGGATTCTCCTCAGACGGCTCCTGGATGTGTCGCCACATTGGAGACAGGAACAAACACTATTCAGCCAAAGTTTCATAATCAGGAAAAATTTTCTAAGTGACAAGTCTCGCTTCAGTTGGAGGAATCATCCTGCTGCATGCGCTCTGGTTCTGCGACGCGCTCCAAGCCCCTCTCCACATCTTCAGCTCGCTGTGGACCTTACGTATGCGCTGACAGTGAGCTGTGCTGAGCAGTGTCCAGCTCAGATATTCAGATGGGAATCTTTTCTTGAGAGATTTAGCTACATCTGCGATGTGCATAACAAGTAAAATGTCAGTTCGTCTGCATGCGTCGGGGTAGTTCTTTCTATTCTTTCTCCTTCAAAATAAACGGTCAAATACGGGAACTATCCGGTCTACACAAGCCCTGCTTTTAACTGTTCTGTTTTCTTGTGAAATTTTTTGCAAAGAGATATAATTTAACTTGATTACCACCAGAGCCAGGCGCACTGCGCTGTTGTCTCCGTCACTATAAATGAGGGAAAACAAAATGATCGGATCCTTTTCTGACCTTCCCCACCTACAAAGTTTAATTACAACATTCAAACGTGACAGAGCCTGGATTTGTATTCTGAACAGTCTAAACATGTTTTAAAGAGAAACGTATGACAAAAGTGGCACCTGCTCAGTAAAACCACCAACAGGGTGAAAAATATCAAAATATTGTAGGCAGAGATGGGCTACAACTTCTGGATCCGCTTTATATAAATCGTTTTATTGATTATCTTTTTATGAAAGATAACTTTGATGTACACTGGCTGGTACTGGCTGCTGTCACCTGTTGTGATTGGTTAAAGCAGCTCTCTGCTTTCTGAGGGTAGGCCCCGCCCACAACGCCGCGGCTGCTGTGGCTCCCAGGGTTTACTGTGGGAAACGGGTAATAATGGCTCTTTGATGGGAACAGGTTGCCGACCCCTGATTTAGACGGTTGAACAGATACAGATGCAGATAGTTGTGTACTCGCTCATCCCAAGTAATTTACACAGAATTCTGTGCTTAATTGTCTGGATGGGTCCTGCAGAGTGACTATGAAAAATAAGGTTTACTAAAATGGAAATGTTAATAAATAGTATTTACATATAAGATTAAAAAATTATAATCAGCCACTTTAAATAAACTAATGATCTACTGTGAACAGCAGCAACACTGAACTTTCACATTCACCGAAACACACCTGCTTTACACACAGATACCACAGAAGTGCTACGAGGAACTCTTTCAGAAGAAATTCATGTGGACATTCTATTTTCTTTTATCTATTGTTCAGTGGGATATTTCAAAATGGCCTTGCAGGCAGAGCCAAATGTGGGATCTGTGGCTTCCTTAAAACTGTCACAGAAATTAACAATACTGTCCTCGTAATTAACTGTTCAGAAAACCTTGGTCTCAAAATACTTATCATAGATAAACCCATGTTTTATCATATGCCTCATTCATAATGTATACTAGTAAATGTTTTAATGTGTTCATTCTCCATTTCCACTTTTATTTTCATGTCTCCGACATCAGCTGAATTAGTAGGTCTGCAGCTATGAAACAAAAGGGTCATAAAGCTTTCTTGAACTCTGGAGGTATTTAAAATTGTTTTGTTGATTTCAACAAAATTTTACAAGATTAATATAATTAAAAATGAAATGAAAGAAAAAATTATAAGAGGTAACTTTGAACAAAAATGTTTAATAAATATTTATAGTTACAGTATTTATTTTATATTTTGAAAGAACTGTGACAGGAACCCTTCCATTTTGATTTCCAAATTTTATTCAGTTAAATTAATAATTTAAACAAAAAAAAAAGTCAATTTAACTGAAATAAAATTGTGTAAACGTGTAAACAGTCTCTCAGATTCTTTTTTCTATCATTTTGATGGTCTGATTGGCAGAGATTCATGCTTGTCTTCTGTTAAGCCCCGCCTTTATCTCCTTCCACCAATGAGAACTACGAGAACAAACCCGGAAACTGCACAGGAGGACAAACAGCCACAGAGAATTACACGTCGACTGTGAATCAAAACATCATGAATGTTTCTGAAATGATATTTAACTTACACATTTTCAGTTTGTAAGAGATTTCAGCTTCGCGAAGTTGTTTAGCATTCATCTGACGTTCTTCTATCGGCTAGAAATGGAGACACCCGTTGGTGTGGTTCTGGCTACAGAGAGATATGGCAGTGCACAATTCTGGAAGTACATAGAGAGGGATGGAGAGTTGGAGAGGAAGAAGGATGGGACTGAAGGGGAATCAGGAGCCAATTCTGTAGTTGGACTTTTTAAAGTAAGGACTTAATAGATACCTTTGTGTCTGAGCTGACTTGTCAAGCATTGTGAAGTTTTAACCGTTTTTCCCCAGAGTGTCTTTCTGCCTCAAGGCTACCCAGAGAGTGTCAGTGATGACTACCTGCAGTACCAGTTTTGGGACACTGTACAGGTACACTAAACATCAAAAGACTGATTATTCTGATCTATCACTCTGAGTTTACAATCGCGTCCTTTCAGGCGTTCTCCAGCTCTCTGTCAGGAACCCTGGCCACTCAGGCTTCCCTGAAAGGCGTTGGTGTGGGAAACCAAGCAGCCACTGTAGCTGGAGCCACGATTACCTGGCTATTAAGAGGTGGGACTGTTAAATAAATACCGGAGGATTGTATTACAACATGCATTATTATTACCTGGATTTGAGCTATTTTCGAACAAATGTTTTGTCTGCAGATGGAACTGGAATGCTGGGAAGAATTCTCTTTGCTTGGAGAAAAGGGTGCGTCCAGAGTCCTGCTTTGGTTTAACTTAGTGATGAAAATTTCCTTTGAAGATGACATTCTTTGTCTTTATTCCAGAAGTAAACTTGACTCAGAGGCCAAAAAGTGGAGGTACGTAACACAGTTAAATCTTCATGATCCTGTATTTTAAATGAGTGTTAACTGATCGTTCTTTTATTTATATTTCTCTCCAGACTGTTTGCTGATGTTCTCAATGACATTGCAATGTTCATGGAAATATTGGCTCCTTATTTTCCTGCCTTCTTCACTTTAATAGTGTGCACTGCAGGGATATTCAAGGTAAAAACAAAACTAATCTCATCTCTTGCAAAATTGTTTAGGTTCAGATATTTTGGCTTAACGACTCAAAATGTTTTGAAATGATTGGTTTAAACATTAAACTTAATATGAGTCATTTAGTTTTTTTGATCAAAAATGTTCTTTGTTTACAAAAACTTTATAGCCTGGAAATGTAGACCGACCTGCTAGCCATGCTCCATTGTAGCGCCAGCATTTAATTGGGAATTTGATTCCCATTTGTTGAAAAATATTGGCAGCTTCTTAACATATAACCATAAAAATCTGGTCTGAAATACATGGGAGCGGGTCAAAGTCTCTGGGCGACGTCATATTTGACGCCATGTTTGCTTCTACGGGAGCCCTTCAGCTTCAGGACAAAATGCATTACTGATTTGTAACAAATGGTTACAAAACTTTTGCCATTCATAAACGTTGTTTTACACATTTACCTCTTCACTCATTGCCACTGATAAAAGGGGAGCCTGATGTGCTTGTCATTTTGCTGAAGGTTGCACTCCCCGGGGCTTTTTGACCCTAATGGGCATCCATTGGAAAGGTTTTACTCCAACACAAAAACACAGCTTGCTTGCAACAATTTAGGTGTCTACTGCCCCCATCACCAGGAAAAATACACACTGTCACTGATATGTGGGTGAAGGAGGAGTATGAGGCAGGGTTGACGACCCCTTTAAAGAAAAGTTGCAATGCAAAATCCAGCTATATTTTGTATTTATTATTCAAGATTCAGGAAAAAAATGATAGCTGAAGTGAGTAGCCTTCCTGACGTTGTCCCTAGTAATATTTTTCTGTTTAGTTAACCCTGAACCTTCTGAACCAGAATTGTTGGTTATTTCATGTCCTAATGTAATGCCTTACTGGGTTTAGCCCAACCGCCCAAGAGCATTCAACGTAACTGAACCCGAGGTCCTGATTTAAGATCCTTCTGGCTCTGTGAGCTCCTCTACAAGGCTGAGCACATGTGGTAAAGGGTGACTCATCACAGGGAATCAGAGTGAACTGCACCATCTTGTCTATTAAATGAAAATGAACCTTTTTCGGAGCAATCTTTAGTGTTTTAAATAGACAGCTCTTGTTACCTTGTAGAGGTTTTTCATCCAAGAGGCGTCTTCCGTTCTGAATCATGACAAAGCAACGCTGAGCTGAGGAGGTGGTCTCATGTTGGCTTTGTTGGGGACTGCTGATGGAGTCATCACTGTGTGAAGGCTATTACCAGACCTTTGTGGTTGTACCATATCTGTTTGTGCACTTCTCCAGTCCATCGTTGGTGTGGCAGGTGGTGCAACCAGAGCTGCTCTAACTGTTCATCAGGCTCGCAGGGACAACATGGCTGACATCTCTGCTAAAGATGGGAGTCAGGTAACTGCTATCTGTAGGTGGTTAACCGTGTGACTAAATAAAGAGTTCAAACACACCAAGAACCAACTCCCTTGGCAATAAAGTGTGACTTTAATTTATTACCGTTCCCACAGTAAATAAGACTTTATTACACTGAGTGTTTGTTCTTTGCGTGTTGGATTCCCATTTATAACCTTGAACACAGCTTTAACGAGATACGGGCGCTCTGCTATGTGCACTCTGATCTGATAGTTTACGTCATGTTTTCAGTTTGCTGTACTTCAAATAGACCTCGTGGAGGAAAATTGGAGCTTTTTATCCAAAATAAGGAAATGAAATTGAGATGACACTTCGTAAAGAGGGGTCACATAATGAAATAAATCATAGATGCATTTTGTTGTTTATCTTTATTAAATCAAACATAAATGGTAAATAGCCTGTATTTGGATAGCGCCTTCTTAGGGTTCTACACCCCCCCCCCCCCCCCCCCCCCCCCCCAGGCTCTTCACAACACAGTCCGTCATTCACCCATTCACATGCTGGTAAGGAGGAGCTATGATGTAGCCACAGCTGCTCTGGGGCGCACTGACAGAGAATAATACCATTTTACTTCTTTGACAGCATGTAGAGAACTGATTGCTTATCCATAGAAGGATCACAGCTTTTGGGGGGGGGGGGGGGGGGGGGGGGGGGGGGGGGGGGGGGGGGAGAACAAGCTGCCAGGAAAACATTTTGGGAAACGCCTTTAGCAATTATTCTTTTCTCCTTCCCACAAAGAAGACCGGGGCGTACCGTTACCTTCACACTTGCATTATTAGTTTTTGATTAAAAGATGCTGCACTGCTACCCATCTAATCATTAAAAGCTATGACTTTATTTCCAAATGCTTCTTCAGGAAGCATCATCTTCGGTTACGTTAACGTTCATTTGCTCATTTCAGTTGGGTATCTTTTAAAGGCTGTGAATGGCTCCTGAGCCAGTGCCTGATTTATACACTGTCCTGGTCTACCGTGAGAAATGTGTAATGTTGATACAACTTATAAATACTAGTGTTTCTGGTATTTACTGTCTACAGGAGACGTTGGTGAATTTGGCTGGACTGCTGGTCAGTTTGATACTCATCCCTCTCGTCACAGATAATCCAGGGTAAGTGCTGTTTATACCTATCAGCAGATAATCTCACACACGACGCATGCATTCAAAATATGCATCTTATATCCATTTTACTTCCTCAGACTGACTCTCAGCCTCTTCTTCCTCTTCACCATCCTTCATCTCTTTTCCAACTACAAAGCTGTGCGCTCGGTTGTCATGGAAACCTTCAATGAAGCACGGATTTCCATTGTGTTGCAGCAGTACCTGACGGACAAAAGAATTCTGAGTCCACTTGAGGCCAATCGGAGGGAACCCGTTTTCTTCCGTATGGGACTGAGCATGTTTTGACACGAGATGACTGACTAGTGTTTACACGTTTAGACTGTTTGTGTCTCGTCACGTTTCAGAGTGGAGAAAAACCACTTCAATCAAGCTCGGAGTGAGGTTACAGGATGTCGTTCAGAGGTGACGATGTGTTTAATGTTTGTAGTTGCACACATTTAAGGCTGGACATCGTTTTCTGTCACGTTTCCCATTTTGTAGCCCAGAAGAACTGAAGCTGGCCTTAAAGGGAAACAGTCTGCCGTTCCTGTTAGGAATCAGAAACGGTATCTCGCCTTCCTTCAAAGAACCGCTGCTTGATCAGATGTATTCAGTACCTTCAAAGCCTGTTTGCTTTTCCTTGTAGGCTGTGTTTGTGTTTGCTTGGGAGCAGAAGCGTCAGTGCATGATGAAATCAGAGCAGTGTGCCAGGCTGTGTGGGTTAGCGATATGTTGAGCTGTCCTGTGTCCAAACAAACTACAAATATAAAACCAAAGCAGCATGGTAAGTCTCTACTGCATTTCATTTACATAGGACATTTGTTTAAGTGTTTCATGTCACTGGTTTGCATTTTATTAAAGGTTTCTGGGAGATGGTGCATGAGAGTCACAGGCTGATGGATGAAAAGTTCAATCCATTTCTGAAAGGTGATCCCAGGAAAGCAGTTTAGACCCACAACCAAACTCAATCAAATATGTTATTTTAATAATAAATGGTGATTTTTTTATTTTCTTATATCTGTTTTCTAGGTGTTGAAGCAGCAGGATGGGACACAAAGCGAACTCTGCTGGACTGGGATGAGTGGAGAGTCGAGTGGAAAACAAAAAGGAGCTGAACTGATTCATTGATTTGTTTAACCACTTGTTACTTTTCACTTATTTCTTAAACAACAGTATTTGTAAATGGTCAGATTACATGATCACATTGTACTCTCTGTGATCCAGCCTGAAAATAAATGTATATTTGTTCACTTGTGTTTGGACTATTTTGTCTCTTATGAATAGATACATTTATTTTGGTTTCTTTTACAATGTTGAATAAAATTATCCTGTGAACAAAAACAAATTCTGGCTTTCTAAAGTATTCACATATATAGGATTGAATAAAATCAGTAGGGCAACAAAACATTTCTTACATTTTCACCTAAAGATGCAAATACATCAAAACACGAGTCACGTTCGTGGTTTTCATGAGGGATGTCCTTTTGTTTCATCAACGTTGTAAATCTTAAAAAATTAAACAAAAACACATAATCCTATAAGCGCCTTTTATTTTATTATTGTCGTCGTCTTCCTCCGCTTATCCGGGTCCAGGTCGCGGGGTCAGCACCCCAACTAAGGAGCTCCAGTCCGTCCTCTCCCCGGCCACCTCCACCTGCTCCTCCGGCAGAACCCCAAGGCGTTCCCGGACCAGATTGGAGATGTAACCTCTCCAACGTGTCCTGGGTCGACCCGGGGGCCTCCTGCCGGTAGGACATGCCCGAAACACCTCCCCACGCATCCAGGAGGCATCCTGACCAGATGCCCAAACCACCTCAACTGACTCCTTTCGATCCGGAGGAGCAGCGGTTCTACTCCGAGTCCCTCCCGAATGTCCGAGCTCCTCACCCTATCTCTAATCGGCCATTCCCATCTGTACCGGGTCGGCCCGGGCCGGGTAGCCCCAGTCGGCCCCAGCCTGGCCCGGTTGATTCCACACATCCTTGTCTTAAGCACATGTGGGCTGATTCTACCCACCAATCAGAGGCTTGCTCTAATGGAAGGTGGGAATTTGCTGTCAGCAGTGGGTGTGTTGGCCCTGGTCGGCCTGAAGCAGACCCCCTCAAGAAGAGGGCTGAGAATGAGCCTTGGTTGGCCTGGAAAAATACCAGGCCACCCAGATATGTAAACAACCTACGCTGCCCGGCCCGGGCCGACCCGGTACAGATGGGAATGGCCCATAAGGCTGAGCCCGGCCACCCTACGGAGGAAACGCATTTCGGCCGCTTGTATCCGCGATCTCGTTCTTTCGGTCATTACCCAAAGCTCATGACCATAGTTGAGGATTGGGACGTAGATCGACCGGTAAATTGAGAGCCTGGCTTTCTGGCTCAGCTCCCTCTTCACCACGACAGATCGGCTCAGCGTCCGCATCACTGCAGACGCCGAACCCATCCGCCTGTCGATCTCACGATCCCTTCTACCTCACTCGTGAACAAGACCCAGAGATACTTAAACTCCTCCACTTGAGGTAGGACCTCTCCCCCGACCCGGAGTTGGTAAGCCACCCTTTTCCGGTCGAGAACCATGGTCTCAGATTCGGAGGTGCTGATCCTCATCCCAGCCGCTTCACGCTCGGCCGCGAACCTACCCAGCAAGAGCTGAAGGTCAGAGCTGGATGACGCTAGGAGGACCACATCATCCGCAGAAAGCAGAGACGAGATTCTCCTGCCACCAAACTCGACACACTCCACACCACGGCTGCGCCTAGAAATTCTGTCCATAAAGGTAATGAACAGAACCGGTGACAAACCGGTGTTATTTTTCTTGTACGTTTTCCTTCATAACTGGTTCTATTTGTGATTTGCTCCATTTGTACAAACAAAAAAGTTTTCTTGTTTGCCAAAAGTTTAGTCAATGAAAAATTATGAAAACCCAAGGAAAAATCTCTATGAGAAACAGATGTCAAATTATGACATCCTTTATGTTAAAAACTGAAACAGTTGCTTGCACGCTTGAGGATTTTGTACTCTCCTGAACTTTTGCACAAAATAATTACACGTTAAAAATCAAATGAGTAACTGTTTTGCTTACGTAGAAAAGTTGCAGTGTGGCTCTTATTTTGAAAAAACTAACCGGATGTTAATTTAATTCCCTCTTCTAGCCGTATTAGCATTAGCGTTAGCGACACATTAGTTTTATTTGTTCGTGATTTGATCGGAACTGTAATAAATGGGCCGATATAAGTGTGCATACAACTGCGAGTACTCAAGCGATTCGGAGGTTAAGTTCTTCAAGTAAGTGCTTAGTTACATTTTTATTGTTAACGACGAATAACAGACAGCTAGCTGGCAGAAAATACTCTATTCCATAAACAACAGATAGCATTCTGGAGTCACTATTACTTGTAAAACCTCCCCACCCATGAGCGGATGTTTTTGTTGGACTAACGGGACCAAAACCTTTCTGGATTTCAGCTGACTAGAGGCATTAATTCACTGTTTCATCTTCATGTTTACATAATCGACTCTCTGCATTAGCCAGATTACCAGAGGGGTAAATTTAATTTGAAGCAAATAAAAAGTATTGTGCTAGATAAAAACCATACAGCCACATCCTCTTTCATAAATACTCACGGACCCCTGTGTTATCTATCACAGAATGCAATTTCACAGTGGTCAGCGCTGTTGCCCTGCAGCAAAAAGGTCCTGGGTTGAAATCCCAACCTGGGGTCTTTCTGCGTGGAGTTTGCATGTTCTCCCTGTGCACGCGTGGGTTCTCTCCGGGTACTCCGGCTTCCTTCCACAGTCCAAAAACATGACTGTCAGGTTGGCTGGTTTCTCTAAACTGTCCCTAGGTGTGTGTGTGTGTGTGTGTGTGTGTGTGTGTGTGTGTGTGTGTGGTGCCCTGCGATGGACTGGCAACATGTCCAGGGTGTACCCGCCTGTTTGCCCAGAGATTGCTGGAGATAGGCAGCACCAGCACCCCTCGGCCCTGCATGGACACAGACGGTGGATGGATGTCTCACATCTGAATGAGATTTGTTCTCTTCCAGGTTCCCCCTGTGCAGTCCCAGAAAACTTAAAAAATGGCTCTCGAACATGAAGTGGGACGACTGGACTCCGACTCGCTTCTCTGTGCTGTGCAGCAATCATTTTGAGGAACAATGCATCGACAGAACTGGAAAACACGTGACTCTTAGAGAAGATGCCGTTCCCACCATATTTACATCCTGTGAGAACATGCAAAGTAAAAAGGTAATGTTCTCCTTCTGGTTTCACTGTTTCAGTGACACCCTAGAATATTTACTTGTGCTTGTTTAACAAAGCTTCTTCATCAGTTCATACTTTATTTTCAGGCCTTTAGCAACCAAAGATGTAAGAAAGCCAAGGTGAGAACTTGGGCTGTTTAAATTTAACATATTCACTTGTTCTTATGGTACTTTTCTACTACTTATTACAACTGTAATCAGTCCATGACTAACAATCATTTTATTGTTGTTTTGGTTTACTCTGGTACACATTCAGGCTCCTGGTGCTAAAGCTGGAGAGAAAGAGACCGCTCAGTTCCCTCCTCTAACCTCTGAGAACAGAGAACCCGATCAGACAGGGGAGGAACCCTCGGGGTATGTAACGACACAAAATCATCCGATTTTTCTTTAGCCTTCGCATTGTCAGTTGTGTATTGTGGACATTTAGTACTGTGCATTTTAATTTAATTAACCTAAAATAACAAAAAATGTAGATCTGTTAGGACATTCGTCCAATTCAAAATAACTTTTGTAGGAAAATGCGTTTCCGTCTTGCTGATTATTACCTTTTAAATGTGTTTGTGTTCAGAGACCAAGACCAGCAGAAGACAGAGAAATGGAGAATCATCGTTGATGAGAGGCTGATGAAGATCCAGTCGTTTCCTCACTTCTTTCATGGAGATTACTGCACACCACATGTAGGCTGTCTAACATGAGACTGTTTATTTATCACTCCTCCTTTAGGAAGGTTAGTCATCTCCAGGATCTGGAGATTCCCGTTGAGGGTAGCATATGAAATGAGGTTTGACACTAAACCAAGCTTTTACTCTGATAATAATCCATTTTTTCTGTCATATTCATCAGCAGACTATTCAGTGGGCTCCAGATGACGATTTTAGTGTAAGCAGTCTGAATTTAATAGAGTGAATTATTTAGTCATTGTTCTGGGTGTTTTTGTTCTGATTTCCTTTATTTAATTCCTTCCCAGGTTTCGCAGACAGACTGTGAAGATGCTGAACATACTATAGAGGTAGTTGCATAAGTTTTATTGATCACTCACGGTTGGACAGATTTAGTAAAGGTGAGAGGGACATGACAAGACATCGTGGTTGCAGGTGAAAGAGCCATGGCAGTGGCTGGGCTTGGACATCAGAGGACCAATGCCGCAGACGCTGAACGGACACAAGTACATATTAACTGTGACTGATTACTACTCCAAATGGGTGGAGGCTTCGCCGATGCCATCGTGCCTCCCTCCTTGTGTGGCGAAGAACATCTCAGACATTATTGCTCATTTTGGATACCCTCTCAGAATTCTCTCCAGGTTGCCCCCTGACGTCGTGCACCAGGTGAGTGCAAATGAGAGTCTGTGACTCGTTCGGAGACGAGCTGGTTAAAAAGTCGGCTAGAGGTTGTTGTTTTTGACCGTGTAACAGTGTGTTTATCTCATGGACGTTCTGTGGATGTGTCTTTGCACCAGATCAACCTTCAGCTGAAAGATCAGCTGAAGGTTGCTGCTGCTCTTCTGGTGCATCATCAGCAAACGGGCACGGCCGATCTGATCACGCCTCAGCTGATCGACAGGTTTGTACGCGCTCTGATAACGTTTGCTTTTTGAACTTTCCACCGTAACTACAGTTTTGTTATGCTGTGGTGTTTAAACGCCGTGTTTGCTTTGGTGGTTCCCTACAGGATGGTAAGTGATCTAACGGAGGAGCATCCAGCTGACTGGGATGTTTACCTGCCTGCAAAAGTCTTCAGTCTTTGTTTCGAGGAGCATTCAGCGACTAAGGAGAGGCCTTTTTCAGTGCTGTGTGTTAACGGACTAGAGCCGGTCCAGTCCCCCAGAGGAGTTGATGTAAGTTTGAACCTCCTAATGAAAGTAGAGCTGAAGCTTGCTTGCGTGATGATTTAGTTTTTATCCGTTTTGCTCCTCAGTTTACAAACGCCAAGATCCAAGAAAGTGCTTTTGTGATTAGATAGATTCATTTGGTAAGCTGGACTCTTTGTATTTTGTTACTCTGCTTTTGGAAATAGAGTAAAAAAAAAAGAAGCTAACTTACTTTACAATAATAAACAACCCTTTTCTCCACTCCTTCAGGTTATTTCAATCAGAGACCAAACTGGATTCATGACCAAACCAGTGAGGAGTATTTTCCTGGTGTGTTGCATTATGGACCGAATGGGAAAGTCATATTCTGGATGATTTTATCAGGATGACTTGGTTCAGTGGACAGAAACTACCGATAAAACTCCAAATGTCTGCTTCCATGTGTTTAGGTTTCTTCACACTCTTTAAGAAATATTTATTAAAGCGAGGATGATATTCAGCCTTCTGTGTGTCTTATTTCTGTTGAATTTCATTTCATTTGCTAAGATTGTTTTGCTGGTAACCTTTGCTGATTCCAACGGGGCAAAAAAGGTATATTCAGCCTCCAATTGTGCAGATTTGCCCACTTAAAAAGATGAGAGGCTTTTCATCTTAGATTTACCTCAACTTTGAGAGAAAAATGTGAAAACCATCCGGAAAATCACATTGTCTGATTTTTAATGAATATATTTGCAAATGATGGTGGAAAATGAGTATTTGGTCAATAGCAAATGTCCATCTCAATACTTTATTTACCGTTTGTTGGCAGGTCAAACGTTTTCTGTAAGTCTTCTCGAGGTGTTTACACACTGTTGCTGGTGTTTTGGCCCGTCCCTCCATGCAGATCTCTAGAGCAGTGATGTTTTGGGGCTGTCGCTGGGCAACACGAACTTCCAACTCCCTCTAAAGCTTTTCTATGGGGTTGAGATCTGGAGAATGGATAGGCCACTCCAGGACCTTGACATGCTCCTTATGAAGCCTCTGCTTTGTTACTCAGCAGTGTGTTTGGGATCATCGTCATGCTGAAAGACCCAGCCACATTTCATCTTCAGGGCCCTTGCTGATGGATGGAGCTTTTCCCTCAGAATCTGATGATACATGATGGCCCTATTCATTCTTTCCTTTACACAGATCAGTCGTCCTGGTCCCTTTGCAGGAAAACAGCACCAAAACATGATGTTACCACCCCCATGCTTTACAGTAGGCATGGCGTTTTTTGGATGCAACTCTGCATTCTTTCTCCTCCGAACACGATGAGTAGAGTTTTTACTAAAAAGTTCTGTTTGGTTTAATCAGACCACGACATTCTCCCAATCCTCCAAATGCTCTCTAGAAAATGTCAGACGGGTCTGCACATGTACTGGCTTAAGCAGGCGGACACGTCAGGTGCTGGGGACCCTGGTGGTATAATGTGTCACTGATGGTAGCCTTTGTAACTTTGGTCCCAGCTCTGCAGATCATTCACTAGGTCTCCCCGTTCTGCTCACCGTTCTTGTGATCAGTTTGACCCCACGTGGGGAGAGTTAGCATGGAGCCCTTGATGGAGGGGGATTATCAGTAGTCTTGTATGTCTTACACTTTCTAATAATTGCTCATCATTATTATATTGAGACAATTCTAAGAGTTTTTAAAAATGGCACCAGTGTTTGCTCTACTCTTGTTGCTTTAATGTTTCTGCTCATCCAAAACGCTGATACTGAGGAATTTCAGCCTTATGTGGTTGTGGAACGGTCGCATAAATGAGGCAGTTTTAAGTCACACGAGTCACTGACCCACCGCTTCATCTTATGAGTGGTTTGGTCCCTTGTGACAACTCATGAGGGAGGGTTGAGTCTAGACAACCTCATGAGTGTGATTATTCTTTAACTACTTATAAGCCTGGAATGCCATGAAGAAGAATGAAACCACAGAATAAGTATAGTTGCATTTTAAAAAACTGAAAACAAAGATGTCTGCAGTGGTTCCCAACCAGTTTTCATTAGGACCCCCGTTGGGTATTATTGGGATTTTATACATGTAAATTTTACAAATATCATCTTGCAAACCTCATAACAGCACAGACAAAATTGTGGAGACCACCTCCAGTCTCTAGTGCACACACGGACCCCTTGCTGGAACCACTGCAAGTAGGCTTGAAGGAGGTAACAAACCAGTCACATCTGTTGGGAGAAAGCCTAATCCACATAGAGCCGAGCCTAAAATGTGTTAAAGTGTCAGTGAAGACTGGTGTCTTCACATTCACCTGCACAAACTTACATGGATATTAAAAATTAGAGAATATATATATATAGCGCCCTCTGCTGGTAGGGTTTGGAGTCGCAAGACGCGCCGAGGCAGCTGTTGTCTCACGCACTCGTTTTGTAGTTCAGGTTATTATTTTCAACAGCCAACCGCAAGAAATGGTGAGTGAGGACGGCAGAGACTGCTCGTAATCTAGTGGCCCTTAGGCCAGCTAAACCGTTCCTTTGTAGTCACCAAACACCGCTCAGAGCGGTAAACTTAGCGGTCAGCCGTTCACCCTTGTTCGTTTTGTATGGAGACCATCTAAAAGATGACTTTGTTCAGCTAACCCGTGCTAAAGCAGCTAGCTTCGTCTGGGTATCAGATTAGCTCACGGGAGCTTTAAAGTGCTGTACTGTTGTAACGAGCTCATGAGAGATGAATCCAGATGAAAACAGAAAATTTAACACCGTATAGACAATAGCACTGCTGTAGACAACAGCAGCCATACTGTAGCATAGCTAACAACTATTTTACCACGACGAAGCTAAGTAGGTGGCTAACGTTAACAATTAGTCAAGAAAAACTCGGACAGAGCAGTTAAGACAACCATGTTAACATCATAACGTCCCCAATGCTTGGTATATTTAGTTTGTGGTAGTTATAGTTGTGTGTAAAGCGACGTTAATTTTTTGCCCAGTTAGCTTTGGCTAACACAGGCTAAACTATCTTACCGTGACGTTAGCAAACATATGTACTGTCTCTTTAAGAGCCCTGTTAACTGCACAGTATATAGTGCTGCATTAACGGACCACTCTGTTTTCTTATCCAGTAATCTAATGTCACACCTGTGTCCGATGTGTGTGTGTGTATGTATATATGTATATGTATGTATGTGTATGTATATATGTATGTATATATATATATATATATATATATATATATATATATATATATATATATAATGTACAGAATGTTTGAGAAACATTATTAGCTGAATTTCATGTTTCTGTCATAACTGGTGTCTGACTTATATTTTGTTACTTGATCTAACTTTAGGATGTGTTTTTAATGATTCGACGTCACAAGACGACCATCTTCACCGATGCCAAAGAGTCTACCACAGTCTATGAACTGAAGCGCATAGTTGAAGGCATTTTAAAGAGATCACCTGAAGACCAGAGGCTTTATAAGGTAAATAAGTCTACCTGGAACAGTGGTCTGCTACCTTTACGAATGGAAGAGCCATTTGTACCATCTCTTCTTCTAGATACTGACAACCCACTCTTGTATTGTGCATTTCTGCATCAGAGAACTCCAAAGCACTTTACACTACAGTCATTCATTCACACATTGATAGTGATGAGCTACATTGTACCTAAAGCTGCTCTGGGGCACCACCAACATTATATATTATTTGTATAGAACCACACAATCTACTTGACATTTATAAGAAAATTACTCTTTTAAAGATAATTTAATGCTGTAAAGAGATCTGTCTGAGTGGAGTGTATGTGTGTGCATGTGTGTTTGTTAGCAGCTTGGTTCTCTGAGCGAGGTGGGGGGTCGGTGGTGTGGGGAGGGGGTTTAGCCGTCTGTATCATTCACTGCCGCAGGTCTTCCATCCGCTGCACCAGGCAACTCCTTCCTGAGGTGTGTTTTTAAACTGGAAATGTGAGTGGAGTACGACTCTAATGGGGGTAACTGACACTTTAACAGTTAATCAGGTAGTCGATTCTGTATGACCCATTATATAAGCAACAATAAAGGGCTGGAGGCCAAAACAATCTGTTATTATGTCTGCTCTTCTTATTATGTCATATTCTGATAACTTTTGCTGTAGTTTAAGTCACATGTGTGTTTTTGAACTGAAACTGGTAGCTAGTCAGACTGATCACTGACATGTTTCAAGTAGCCAGGAGTTATTTTCAGCTGGTGCTGAACTGAAGGCTGTATATTTGCTGTACGAGTTCGATGCACCTACTGCAAAAACGTTGGACGGGAAGCTGCTGAAACTATCCTCTTGTGTTGCCAGTTTGAATAATAACTTCTCAGGTTTAAGGTGAGCTGTGAAGTCCTTTCTGCAAAGCTGCTGGCTTCACGTCCTGCTGATCAGAATTTTTCACAAACTGTTACCTGTTGAAACCCACCGGCTCGTTTCCAAGTGTTAGTTTTATAATTGAGCATGGCAAAAATGTAACCTAAGCCTTGTATATAAGCTCTGTACATATATCAGATGAGTTTGTGGAACACAACGTGCATGCAGCAGCTTCCACTAGCGTCAGAGGTTGGATGGTGGTGTTACAGTAACGTGAATGTGATGTGGTGCAGGAGGAAACGGGCTGAACAGCGAGTAAAACTGCTGAAAGAAGGGGACTTATGAAAAAACAAACTAGAATAAGGAAGGAACCATGTGTTATTTTTAATCACAACTTCATGCAGCTCGACTCAACCAAGAATGAATTAACTAGTTAACTGTTCTCTAGCTTTTAGAGGGAAGAGAGTCAGCAGCTTTAACAGGCGTTTGTGGATATCTGAGATTCAGCAGCTATGGAAAACTCTGTTTGTATGACAGCTTTTACAGAATCATACAGGCTGCCTAAAGCCAGTTTCTTTTAATATAATAAAGAGACTGCCTCTGAGTAGCTGCTGTATGCAGATTATTTACTTTAATGTTCATAAATGTTTAGTCTTAATAAGGATCTATGTGGAAGTTGTTTGCTTTAAAAAAAACTGAGACTCATTGTCAAGACAGCTGTCTGCATCATACATGTGATGATTACACATATTAAGAGTTATTATAGAGGATGTAGTAGTGAGCTTGAGTAATACTTTTGAGGCCCTAGACATCGTAGTACACCTGTCAAGTTTCCTGTTTGCTCGATGAACTCGTATTTTAGCCCTCCTTCCTTCTGCCCTCTTCCCATGTTTCCCAAAAAGACATACCAGTCTCTTTGACTCGCTCCCATCTGGCAGGAGGCTCAGATCCATTCGGACCAGAAACTCTCGCCACAAGAACAGGTTCTTCCTCTTTGCTGTTGGACTCAAGAATGACAGTCATAGGGCTCCCCACTCCAGTCGCTTGGTCCCGGTCACATGACCCTGTGTTGTGTTTGTACCTGAACTGATCCGCTCTGATCAGTACCTACACTGTCTTGTATACAGCTGCCATTTCTCAGTATTGCCAATGTATAGTATTATTTTATCATGATTATATTCTTACTTCCTATATTTGTTTCTCCTATTTTTATCTTTCTTTTTGCATCAAGTACCGCAGCAATTTCTTAATGTTGTGATTTCTCGCACATATGGCAATAAAGCCCTTCTGATTCTGATTTGTATTTTCTCGGGAAATACTAATGGAGACCTGAGAGAGGTGACCCCCCCCCCCCCCCCAAATTCATGTTTCAAACCCAAAACTTGACGGGTGTGACAAGTGTGTGTGACACGGTGATGGTTCACCACCATCTGGATGAAGATTTGGGGCGATCTGATCCGACAGACTCAGAAACTGCTTCGCTAGTAGACCTTTAGTCTCCATCAGCCCTTCCCAAGTGGAAAATACAAAAGGTGGATTGGTGACTTGTCATGAAACATTGTGCCATCTTTAAAAACTGAAATGAAGGAGCGTAATAATGGTTTTATTGCTGCAGGACATGCTCATCCTTTTGACTAAATGTTGTTTTATTAAATACAATTTCTTCCCTCTTTGTCTCATCATACCATTTTCAATGAATCTGAATGTAAAGGGTGAATTTAGATCACATCATGTGACCAGTTACAGTAACATACTGCTTTTAATGAAGATGTTTTCTCCCAGAGTGCTCATGAAGGGACTGTCAGTATTTATTCATTCATTCATGTGTTTGTTTCAAGGATGATGTGCTGCTTAACGACAGTCAAACTCTTGGAAACTGTGGCTTCACAAATCAAACAGCCCGACCTCAGGCCCCCGCCACAGTGGGATTAGCTTTTCGTCTCAGTGGTGAGTTGTTCATATTAGAGCACGTTTGTTTGGAGCTCAGATTGGTTGTGTCGGACACCTCCTCACGATTCTCTCCGTCTAATGGTTTGTCTTCTAGATGAGTCATTTGAGCAGCTAAGGATCGAGTCATTCTCCACTCCCCCAGAACTTCCTGACGTCATGAAGCCTCAGGATTCTGGCAGCACAGCCAACGAGCAGGCAGTCCAGTGAGGGCAGGGGGGGGGGTTCGGGAAACGAGAGCTACAAGGGGGTTGGAAGGGAGGGCACGTTGGTTGAGGGAGGGGTTGACTTTTGGGAAGTGATGCCTCTGTGGGTTCAGTTTTCCAATGCCAGTGACACATCTTCAAGTGAGGCATAAATGATTCTAACTATGGATTCGCCGTAAATTTGCAGAGGCTCCAAGTGGTTAATTTTTCTTGAAATTAGCAAGTACATGCTAGATAAATTTATATTTCCTCACAAGACCCTTCAGAGATACCTGATGGACTTGTCACAACACTGTCAGTCATCCGTCTGATTGGTGAAGGCTGAAGCTTTGAATTGTACCTCTTATTTAATGAATTCTTGTCTTTATTTGGAGTAAGACTCATGCTGCCTTGCTCGTGCTCTTTTTATTTGTTGGCTGAGAAGGCAGAGTCAATGAGGTTTAAGCTTTTGTGCTTGTGTTGCTATAGCGAGGGTTTATTGGTTTTGTTTGTCTTTGGCCTGGATCTGTGTTGCAACCATAAATAGAAGTTTGTGAATTTCTGAGTTACCATCTGTATTTTAAAAAACTTTTGAACAATGCTGAAATAAAAATAGATACACTTGTTTTTGTTACTTCACCAATAAGTAGTTTTTATTTTGATCAGCAGCTAATGAAACAGAACACACCCTGTGCTAGACATTATTAACCTTTTTGTCCCAGTATTTGGTTTGCAATCCATAAAATCATAAAGATGGTGACTAATAATCGCCCAGATGGCATAAAACTATTTTAGGGGAGTCTTTGCAGTATGCTATTTAAACCCGTGTGCAGTGGGATGCACATCGGTTTCTTTATTCACTAAAATGCATTTAAAAAGGTAGTTTTTGTTCTAGTTTACATCATTAATGGCTTATTTCCCTATAAATTTATAGATGAAATAGAAAAAAATGGACATCAAAACTTCGGTGTAAGGCGTAACACTGGGTTGCATGATTTTGAAACTTGTAATATTTACGCCAAGAAAAGACGATTATGTCCTGGTGGATTTTAATTAAAGTGTTAAATGTTTGCAAATAAAAGCTGTTAAACAGTGGGACATGAACAGAGTTGCACTTGTAACCGATCAAAAATGAAAACATTTGTGTGGTTTTTTCACCTCTGTGCACTGTGGTATTTTGAACAATTAGCTGTCAGTGGTGAAAAGTGAGTTTTTAATATTGGAATCATGCAGTGCCACGGTTTAATTGCTTGTTATTTCTAATGTGAGCCTGTCAGGGTGTTCTATTATTTTGCTCCATAAAATGTCAGGTAAATTAAAATCTGTATATTGGCTCAAACTATTTTGCTAAAACGTTCCAGCAAAGGGCCGGAAAAAAAATTCAGTCAGTCTAAACTCAAAAGCTAATAGAAAAATTGAAAAGAAACTAAAAGGAGACTAAAGCTGTTTAAACCTTATAATTCCATGGTTATCTTTGATATTTTCAACGTTTCTGTTATGCTATTAAAACTTATTTTCTCCTTTTATTCAAATTAATGAGATTTTCCATAAAGCGTTAATAAAATATATGGCAGGTCTAGGTCTTGACTGACTCTCAAAACACATGTTCCCAGGGTTTTTAAATGTCTCATCGGTTCGTCACTTTGCCCGACAGTCCGTGAAAGCAACAAACATTAGCTTAGGAGCTAGCCATGTTAGCGGTCAGCATTGTGTTGCTAGAAAATGAGTTAAGTTCACCGCTTTTGAAGATAATTCGCTAAACCTTAAACTGTTGTTAGATAACCACATGGATGAAATTGGTTTGCTTCACGGCTCACCGGAACGAATGGACGTTCGAGAGCTTGTCTCATCGGCGGGTAAAGCCGTTTTGGATATGATGGAGCGGGAATGGCAGCCTCTGTCTGCGAACGAGCTGGAGCATCGGCTGGATCAGGTGGTGGAGGAGGTCCTGGAGTCAGAACTTATGGCAAAACTTCAAACGCAGCCTCTTCCTACAGTTTGTGTACAATTACTGCAAAGTAAAACAAATGCTGGTCCTCAAAATGTGGCCTCAGCGACTGCAGCTAGTAGCCTACCGGAGGAAGAGGCGGCAGGGTCCGATGGACAGCCGGAGACAGTGGACAGCACAGCTGTCCAGGTGAGGAGCTGTTTCAGATTAATGGAATTGAAAGTAAAACGAACTTAAAAAATACAATGGGATTTAATGAGCCGGATTTTTCACAATATACTTCATATTCAGTTGGTGTCACTTGACATGTTGCTTCACCAGCACATCACAGATCTGCTGCAAAGCTCCGAATCTAAGGCTCGGATGTCTGGAAGGGCTCGCTTGTCTCTGTCCCACAGTGTCCTCCTGTCTCTGTCCCTGCTGTCTGAACGGATCAGCTACCGCTCTGTGTCCAAACGCTTCCAACTGGAAAAGGGAAACATCCACAGGATCTTCTTCTCCTTCTGTGAACGGATCAACATGCTGCAGGAGCAGCAGATCAGATGGCCAGTTGGTGGGTTGGCTGGGAATTTTGTTTTCTTGTCAAACCATATTATTATTGTAACCTCTGTTTTTTTTTCTGTTTTCCAGACAGAGAGGCTTTGTTGGCACTTTTTCCATTTTCCAGTCAGCTTGGAATAGATGAGCTAAAGGAAGATCAGCCTGTGCCTCAGATACTGGGAGTGCTGGGACACACACGGATTCCTATCCGTCTACCTGTAGGGAAACCTGAAACTGAGAGTGAAGCGCCTGTGAAGAAGAAAACAAAGAAGGAGGCTCATCCTAACTTCTGGTTAAACCTGGAGCTGGTCTGCAGTCTTAGAGGCCAGTTCCTGCACTGTAGAATCAGTAAAGGCTCAGATCTAGATAGAGGCAGGACTCTGGGAGATAGACTCAAACAGCATCCTGAACTAATGCCCTCAGGCTCCTGTCTTGTGGCCAGAGCTGGCTACCCACTCACTGAACAAATTTTAACCCCATATAGGAGAGGTTGCGGCCCAAAGGAGGAGCTTTTTAACAGAACTTTGGAGGAGCACTGTCAGATTTTGGATCGGTCTGTCGCCAGCCTGAAAGGCAGATTCAAACGTCTTACGTATCTGGATATAGGGAACAACGAGCGAGCCAGAGCTGTTGTTCTGACGGCGTGCGTGTTACACAATGTGTTTGTGAACTTGGGTCAAGTGCTTGAAGAAGAGTCTGAGAAAGAGAACACTGTGATTGAAGAGGAGGATGGGGAGGAAGATGACGATGGCGTACGTAGACGGGATACTGTTGCAGGTCTGCTGCTGAACAGCTGCGATTTTCTATCTGTGAGCAGAACTGAGCAAGAATAAAGATTTGTGTTAACGCTTGAGTCTGGTTTTATCAATGTGTGTGACAATCGCCATAAAACAATGTCAAGTTACTTGAACTGGTTTTGTTGCAAACTAGTTTATATTGGTCTGAAATATTTAAGAAAATAAGAATCAAGTCTGCTTTTGCCGATGATGTGGTCCTGTTGGCTTCATCAGACCGTGATTTCTAGATGTCGCTGGAGCGGTTCGCAGCCGAGTGTGAGGCAGCTGGGATAAGATTCAGCTCCTCTAAATCCGAGACCATGGTCTTGATTTGGAGAAGGGTAAAATGCCATTTACATGTCAGGGATCTTGTTCACGAGTGAGAGAAAGATGGAGCTTGAGATCGACAGGCGGGTTGGTGCTGCACCTGCAGTGATGCAGGCGTTGTACCGGTATGTCGCGGTGAAGCGAGAGCTGAGCCAGAATGCAAAGCTCTCTATTTACCGGTCGATCTACGTTCCTACCCTCACCTATGGTCGTGAGATTTGGGTAGTGACAGAAAGAACGAGATCGCAGATACGCGGCTGAAATGAGTTTTCCTCGCAGGGTGGCTGGGCTCTCCCTTAGAGAGTGGGTGAGAAGTTTGGTCATCTGGAAGGGGTTCAGAGTAGACCCACTGCTGCTCCACATCGAGAGGAGCCAGTTGAGGTGCCTCGGGCATCTGATTAGGATGCCTACTTGGTGAGGTTTTTCGGGTACATTCAACCGAGAGGAGACCCAAAGTAAGACTAAGGACACGCTGGAGGGACTATGTCTCTCAGCTGGCCAGGGAACACCTTGGGATTCCCCTGGAGTTGGCCCAAGTGGCTGGGAAAAGGCAAGTCTGGACCTTTCTGCTTAGGCTGCTACCCCCGCGACCCGAACCCGGATACGTGGACAAAAATAGATGGATGGATTTAAAAAATGTTTCTGAATAGTACATTTTGAACTTAAATTGTATTAGATGCAACACAAGATTTATCAATTAAAACCAAAGTGGTATTAAACTATGAGCAGCACCAAAGACCCGATTGGTTTTATTCAAGTAGGGACAGATTACAGATATAAGCAGCTTTGGCAAGAGAGGAATCGCTTCTTAAAGGTAACACTCACGGCAGGAGTGATTAAAGTTTCACTATAATGAACTACTCCTGTCTTACAATTTATTACATTCACATCAGTTTGTTTAAACTATTCGTGATTAAACTGTGATGCTCTGGATATAGAAAGTAGGGCTGGGCAATAAATCGAAAATTTATCATTATCGAAATTTCTGACTCTTACCGAGATCACTTTTTCCCACGTTAATAAATTTGATAAAATTTAAAAGATGTGTGTAGGTTGGCAACGTTCGTGTCCCTTTAAGAAGCTGTACCACCTCCAGTTACGTAAAAATGTGACTCAAGGTAACACACGTGACAGCCGCATCTAGTGGACAACTTCTGTTTCTGCGCATACCTGTACTTATCGTCCATTTATTGTTATCGAGGTGAAATCCTCAATATATCGTTATATTGATTTAATGCCATATCGCCCAGTCAATCAATCAATCAAAGCTTTATTTATAAAGCGCCTTCCGCAACCCTGTCAGGAAGCCCAAAGCGCTGAACATGGTTCAGTTGTAGGTAAATATATTGAATAAATCAACAATAAAAGCAATTCATATTACAAAATACAAATTACAAAATGGATGAAACATTCTGGTACAGGACAAATGTGTAAAACAATGGATTGAGTGAACCAATGAAAACTGTGAAATAAATTCTACATAAAAGAGGGCCAAATTCAAACATGTTCAGGAAACGCCAAGCGGAGGAGGTGTGTTTTTAGGTGACTCTTAAAGACTGGCAGAGATGGGGACAGCCTAACTGAGGGTGGCAACTGGTTCCAGAGTGACGGTGCTAGGACTGAGAAAGCCCGGTCCCCACAGGTACGACACCTAGAACGAGGGACAGCGAGCAGGCCTTGGTCAGAGGAGCGCAGAGCGCGTGATGGGGAGTGTCTGTTCAGGAGTGTGGCCAGATAGGGGGGAGCACCACCCTGGAAGAAATGATAAACAAAGACGAGGATTTTGAATTGTCCTAATAGAAAGCAGTCCGAAAGACAGAACTTACTGACATCTTTCTAATCCTACAGAATATGAACACATCCCATCTGTTAGTGATAATTTCAAATAGCTTCACTTTACACTTTGTGCGTTTTAATGGTGTTTTTAACCTTGGTGCAGCGACATCCGATTATTGTTACATCCACGTTTTACTCTTTCCATTCACTTCTTCAAACATTTCAAGTGGATTTGTCAGAACAGGTATAAAAATAATCGTACCATCATTTGAAACAATAAAAATATCTATGTGTTCTTATACTGAAAAAATAATACCTTTCTTTCTGTCACACCCAGTGGAAATATTAAAGGCATTGTACCACAACAAGCTGTTATATTTTTATAGTTTTAAAACAGTTCTGGGGAACAACCAAATCTGTCCTCTCTGGTCTAGTGCCCATCCTTTGACGTTGGCGCACTGTTCATCTGAGCCAGACTGGCGATAGCTTGAGCTAGATTGTTAATGGCGTCTATTTTCCTCTCCTCCAGTGCTTTCTGCTGTGCCCACATGTTCAGCCTCCTCTCCTGCAGCTCCATGTACAACTGCAGGACATCCTGAGGAGGTCTGGCGGGGCAGACGGTGGCTGCTGTTGCCGGAGGCGTAGGCAGGATTGGGGTGAACCTCTTGCTGGCTATGGCCTTGCCCACTCTGGTCCCACTGAGCTTGGCCTGATGCTGGGCTTCGATCTCTTCCCTGCTTTTACCCAACACGTCATGCATGGCTTTAAAGAACTCCCAGTGGACACTGGTGACTCCCAGTCTCTTGGCCCGCTCTGTGTTCTTCCTGTATGTGGCCAGCATGTTTCTCCACTTGAGGTCACACTCGTAAGCCTTCACACTGATGTCAGTGAGCCCTGACTCCAGCAGCTTAGCATTCACCTTCTCTGCCACCAGTTCCCACAGTTTCTTTTTCTTGCATACTGGCTGGTCAAAGGCCTGGTCCATTCCTAACCGGGTATTGACCAGGTGCCATGTAGCCTGCAGGGTCCAAATAAACTCTAGAAACAAAAGAAAGTAAAGGCAAAAGAAAAGATGTTTAATTGGTGTGTACACACTTTCCGTAGTTACCATATTTTAAAATTATAATATGAATAACATTTTAGCTTTAAGTAATGAAAGCGACATTTTCTCAAAGTTAGTGACTATGCAGACTATCAGATGTTACCAACGCACTCACGCATCAGACCCTTCTCTCATGATACGCGATGACTACATCTGTTTACTTTCACACATTTAATATTTACCAGCTTTGTTTTTATCGGTGTCCCCGCTAGACACAACTGTTTCCTTTGATTCCACCTCAGTATTTGGTATCACAATCGTCTCGATCATTTCCATGTCTTCCCAGTAAACCTAATATATATTTTTGCGGTGTTTCTTCTATCGCAGAATTTAACAACCTTTCAGATTCACCGATGTACGTGGTTGCGTAGAAAATCCGATGGATTTTACAACGATACCAGGTAACTTGGGAATTGTAGTCTGTTTTGTCCATTGAAACCTATGATTGAAACCTGCAGTTTGAGCCTGAGACGAACTACAATCCCTAAACGCATTGGCTTGTTTTGCACACGCTCCTATCTGACTTTAGTATGGAAAATGTAGTTTTAGAAGGTAAAAACGTACGTTAGGAGAGCGAACAGAAACAGAGTTTAAACTACAAATCCCAGAATTTTACAAAAGGTCCACCTCTCTGTTCTCCGCTCACTCCAGAAACCGCCCCCGTTTTGTTGTTTGGCTAAAGATGGCGTTAGCGGCTAACACAGGCGATTGCATTTTGTTTAACGATTTTTTTCGGGCATTGGCAACACCAGGTTAATAAAATAGAGTCATTATTTGTAGTTCGATATGCAAATAATGTAACATTGAGCAGATACACAACAATTACGTAGAATAACGCCTGCTAGGCTTAATCACGCTGTAGGCCTCTTTGTAGGGAGTGGACCTGGAGTTGGAAACTCAATTTCCCGTCAGCAATTGCGGCGTCAGGTGGTACAATTTTACTTTTGTCGTGAGCTGTAGTTTTTTTGTATTGATTTTGCCAGTTATTCAGAACCGCGGATTGTATACTTCAAAAAGGAACAGAGGAAGAGCCCAGGTTCACGTGTTGAGTAGTTAGCTAACACGTTCAAGTGAAGAGAGATGTTTTTTAACCTTTTATTAGTTCGCTGGAAGAGTCCAGGGATAAATCATCACCTTATCTGTGATATCTGTCTATGCAGGCAAACAGAAAGTTAAGCTAAGTTTATACGTGGCTTGCTGGTCAGGAGCCATGTCTTCGTCAGTGGTGAAGGGTGACTGGAAACACTCGAGAGTTCACCCCAAAGAGGGTCACCAAGCATCACCAGAGTCTTCCTTAACCTGGTGCTTGACTCACCTTAGACCCGAGTCACCGCGGGGCGAACAGCAGGCTAGGCCAGGTAACAGCAGAGAAATAGACAAGAGGGCCAAAGTCTCTCAGTGGCGAGCCCTAGTGGCCATCCGGACGCAGCACATCAAGGGAGACCAGGCTGGCATTGCCAGATTCAGAGGACACGGTGGACTCCGACCCCTGCTGACCCTGCTTCAACACCCAGACTCCTCCAGGAAGACTCTGGATCTGGCTCTCAGCATTCTGGCCAACTGCTGCACGGAGCCAGAGACGCGCCTAGAGGTGAGTTAGGAATAAAAAGGCTATGTTCCACTTTTATTAAAATATTTATACATTTTATGTATATATTTATAAAATTAATTAAACTACGTTTGTTTAAATTTCAAATAAATTTCCACAACAGGTCCGTAGGCTGCAAGGAATAGACATTGTAGGTAAGTGATGCTTCTTTATATGGAGGATTAGATCTTGATCCATTTTTTGCTATTTGCAATTATCAGAGTCAGTGGGATATTATGCATTTATTTATGTTGTCTGTCTTAGTGGACATCATGAAGAGAAATGTGGCTCTGGAGTCGGTCCAGAACCGGGCAGCTCGGGCTCTGGGGAATTTGGCCATGGATCCAGAGAGCTCTGAGCTCATCCATTCTGCTGGTAATGATGAAATGTGGCCATCTTTCACTTCATTATTGAAAGTGCAATAAGATATGCACAAGTCTAGTTACTTACACACTAGTATTACAACCTCAGGGTATAAATATACCAGATATATATCAGTAGCATCCAGCAAGGATAGGAACTTTATACACAGGTTCCAAGAATCTTTAGCATCTAAATCTTTGGACATCAACATGCTTTGATAGAGCATTATCTGTAATTGATGTGTTTTCTGAAATAACTGAGTTAGGGCTGCACAATATATCGAAAAATTATCGTCATCGGGTTAACAGGAGGTGCGATAGGCCCATCGCAAAGCACGTCAAAAACAGCGATAAATGTTTGGTTCAACATTTCCATCCGTGTCATACATCAGCTTTTTGTAAACCAGCTCTGTTTTTTTTACGCGGAAGTATTATTTGACCAATCAAATGTAGTCCTTCTGATATGCGGCCAATCAGATGGGTCCGTTCACGTAATACGCCCGCCCCCTACGTAGACCCTTAGGATGGAAAGCAACACCCAAACGGCGCCGTTCCCTTGTTCATCATGCTGGCTCAGAGCGACGAACGCACTTTGTGCTGATGTTTCTGGATTCAGCGCTGCTTTCAAACGTGAACGTGAGTCCGCTCGGTGTCGTTAATCATTTTTACCGGGCTGACTCCGACACGTGCCGGTGAACCAACCCACCTTCATGTCGCTAGTGTTAGCCCCAGGCTCCGGTTAGCTTCCAGCTAAAAGGCTACAGCACTCTCCTCCCAGTCCCACCCTGAGCTGCTAAAGAGGGCCTGGAAAAGTTCCCCCACACATCAAAGTGATTTTTCATTTGTGAGCTTTTATAACCTTGTTAATCAGGATAGTTGATTTGCTGCTGCACATAAACTGTCAGTCAGAAGCTCTGCTAGCCGGTTATCTTAAGAAGAGCTAGTTCAATTTGTTAGCTTGTTATCAGAATCATAGTTGCAGTTTCATCATCTGAGCTGCTTTTTAAGATCTATGTAAACTTGTTCAATTTGGGGTTAAAAACAAACGTTTTCACATAGTTTCCATGTAGTTTTTTTTTGCCAGTTCCTCTTCTGAAAGGTAGACAATTGTTTTTCTCTTTCCCTCAGAAAATCTTAATATTCTCCTAGTTTGGCCCAGCACAGATCACTTCCCAATTACAGCAACAGCCTTATATCATAACCACATAAGTGGAGAAAATGTTCAGTAGCAATGAGAGAATTTGCTGTTGCATGTAAGTGATGTTAACTATTATTTAACATTTAAACTTACTTTCTGATTTTTTATTTACTCAAAAACCCTGGTAAGGGATGTTTTTCTGTATTTGGAGCATCAGAAAAAGTTTTATGGTGGAGGTGATGTTTTAAAGTCACTGAGAAACTGCATGCATGCAGGTTGTTGTTTTGCTGCTAATACAGTGGCAGGTGCAGCTGCATATTTTTGCAATAAAAACGTTATATTGTAATGGAATTCATGCATTAGTTTTGTTTGCTTTGAACCCAGAGCAGACGTCACACGCCAGACGACATCAACACTGCATACTTTAGTATTTGTTCATTTATCGCGAGTAATATCGATATCGCAATAATAAGCACTGTTATCGAATATCGCAGGTTTTCCTAATATCGTGCAGCCCTACTTTGAGTTGATTTATTTTAAAGTCCCTTTCTGTTGTCACACAGGTGGCGTTCCTCTCCTTCTCCTCTGTGTGTCTTTGTCATCTGCTCCATCGTCCCCCACAGCTTCTCCGCCCTCTGACTCCTGCCCTAAACTTGAGTGTGCTCAGTCAGCTGCCCGGGCGCTTCTCTACCTCTCAGACACGCCTTCAAACCGCCTCTCCTTGATCACCCAAGGGACATTATCTGCTCTCGCTCCTCTCCTTACCCCTGAATATCCCCACGGGCTGCGGCGTGCGGCGCTAAGAGCCCTCCACGAGCTGACCAGGGGTTGTGGTGTGGAATGTTCCAGGGAGGTGTCCCGTTCTGGGGTCCTTGCTCAGCTTGGTGTCATGACATCGGGGGAGTCTGGTAAACCTTTTGAGGAGCTAGCACTAAAAACACTGGCTAACTTGTGCTCTCAGGGTTGCTTGCGACCTCTCGTGGGGTCCCTGGGGGTCATCCAGAAATTCACTGAGGAGGTTAAAAGGGACCCACTGAAGTCTGGAGTCTTTTTTAAGGCTCTGTGTTTGTGCTGCAAAGAGGCCGTGAACCGGGCCAAGGTGAAAGAGAGTGGTGGGTTGGAGGTGCTGATTAACTTTTTATCTTCTCATCAGAGTCACCCTCTTTCTAAGCTGGCTGTTCTGGCCTGTGTGGACTTTGTTTTTGACGAGTCTGCTATGGAACAGCTGCAAGAGCTGGGGCTGGTCCCGATACTCGTTTCACTGCTTGTCAAACTCACCAGAGGAGAGGAACAGGCGGTGGAGAAAGTGGATGGAAGCCTGTCCTCCAACATGTCTCCCAGTGAGCTGCGTCCCTCTTCATGTTTAGAGTCGTTTGACTTTCCTGCTCCTGAGGGATTCAAGAGGGAGCAAGGTTCCTCCAGCTTCTTAAGTCTCAGGTATGAAAACTTGTTTTATTACAGCTGTATGCTTTAAGATTCAGCTTCTTTATGTGCAACATTGTTACTCTGCAGGTCCTGGTTGCTGTCGGAGGGACTGATCTCTTCTGAGGGGGACCTGCTGGATGCATCCGGTGTAGATTCAGACTGGGGCAGTCCTCAGGTCCCACCAGCTTCGTCCTCTCAGACCTCCTCTCCAAACCCTTATTCCAGTCCTTCCCTCAAAAGCTCTTCGTCTGTCTCTGTTCTTCCTAAAAAACCCGCTCAGTCATCGTCACCTGTCTCATCTTCTTCAGGGAGCGTCACTGATCCCCCCCCCTCCAGTGCTGTTCCACCACAAACCCCGACCATCTCGACCTCCGCTCCCAGTGCACCCCAAACACCCATCTCTCCAACAAAGTTCTCTTCTCCACAGAAGAGAAGAAAAGCTCAATCATCAGCTTCCCTGACTCAGGTCATTCTTGAAAGTCCTCCGTCTGCTCCTCGTCCCGCCGCCTATCACCACCCTTACCACCCTGAACCCTGGACCACAGAGTCTCCCATCCTGCTGCTGCTGTCCCGTTTCTCCCACGCCAGCGACCCCAGCGCCACTCTGGTCAGCTCAGGCGTCATGTCCGGCTTGCTTTACTACCTCACTCAGCACCAGGACCCCAGCAGCAGGTGCTTCCGTATGCTTTGCCGTCTGAGCTGCAACCCAAATTGTTTGCAGGCGCTGGTGCGGACTGGTTCAGTAGCTCTGATTTGTCACCATCTCTGCCTGAGGGATGAGAGATCAGAGGGACAGGCGAGGCAGACGGAGCGAGTCAAAGCCAAAGTTAAACAGCTGGGTAAGGTTAATGCAGCTCATCGGCTCATCTAACCGTTTCATCAAATAAAAACAATCATTTAAAAGCATCAGTTTGAATTTGTACTGAGACATGCTGACTCCACAGGTGCTGCTCTTCTGAATAATCTGCGTGTTCAGTGTGAGTCGGGATTCGGCTCCGGTGTTCTTGCACATGTGATGCTGTCGGGTTCTGAGTCTGATAAGATGAACTGTGCGCTCTCTCTGCCTTTCCTCAGCAGGTGAGTAGCAGATGTCTTCATGACCTGTACTTTGGATTACAAACGCCACAGCAGCCTCTGACTGACTGTAGTTTAGTTTATAATTGCATCAAAACGATCCCAGAAGGAGACCAGATACGATGAGCTTGTGTTTTTCTCTCCAGCAACAAATCCCTTTTGAGGAAGCTTCTCCTGGATAGTGGCGGTCTTCTTTTGGCACTGCTGCCTCTTGACTGCGATGTCGATGAGGATGAGGAAGATGAAGATCAGTGTGGAAGGCTGCTTTCTGATTTATTTAATTCCTCACGCCCAGGTGTGAGCTCCCCGCGACACTCTGTGTATTTCTCTGTCCTGGTTGGGTGCTTGTCGGCTCTGACGGGGACCGTTAAGACTGACTTGATCAAAGAGAACAGGAGTCCAGTTACAGCCCAGTGTGTTGGTAACTCTGACCAAGATTTGCCCCCTCCCTTGAAGAAGCCACGCCTTGCTGAGATGTGTCCCTACGAGGTGTCGGACTTTGACCTGGTCTTGTTGCTTGATGATGGAACCAGGGTCCCAGCCAACAGGGAGGCTCTAGCGGGACTGGAGGGGGCAGACGGCGCCGGCTCGGAGTACTTCAGGGCCCTGTTGAGAGGCGGGTTTGGAGAGTCTCAGGGCAAAGCCGACGAAGCTATTTGTATCAAAGATGTTAGCGCGGGTATGCTACTCCCGGTGCTGCATTACCTGCATGGATGTCGCCTCAGCAGGGATCCACAAAGGAACGAGCTGCAGAGCAGAGGCCAGTGTCAGCTCTTAGACACGTCGGTCCTTCGTGGACTCGGTGGCTACCAACGTGGAACAGAGGAAGACTTTCAGAAGTCACCTTTAGGTGCGATGATGATTGGGGCGTGCAGGTTTTTGGTAAACGAGCTGAAGGAGGAGCTGGAGGATAGTTTAGTCTCATTCCTCATGTCGTGCTCCACCAAAGCTACTGGTGCCTGTAGAGCTGCTCCCACAGAGGACGATGCTGAGAAGACGGAACCTAAAACGGACCAAGAACACTCCGAGGAGAACCTGGCGAGTCTGACGTCTGAGCTGGAGCTGACTGAACAGGCGAGGAAACTCGACGCTTTACTGCAGCAAACAGAAAGTAAGAACTCGTCCTTTGCTGGAACAATACAGGAAGTCATCACAGGACTCAAAACGAGCCTAGATGAAAACACCATCAAGAGAGTTATTTCTGTTTCTAAATCGGCCCGTACGCCTGTGAAGTCCCTCGATCCAGAAGTGAAGACGTTGGGACCAACGCAGCTGCAGAAGGACGTCCAGCCGATGAAACCAGCCGATCAGAGCTCCCGTGAGTCTGGAGCTCTCGTTGCTTTGCTCCCACAGCTGTACTGGTTTTCCCAGCGGCACAGCTACCCTGCTCTGGGCCGGGCCTGCCTGTCCTTGCTGCTGGGTTATCAGAACTACCCTAGGCCATTTCTGACCTCCGTCGCTGCTGGTTGTCTTCACAGACTGGCCAGAGAGGCCGACTGTACGGACACTCTGAAACAGGATCTGCTGAGCCTGGCCTCGGGGGCTTTAGGCTGAGTGGGGGGCTTCGGATAAACTCATCAGGCAGAGAACCAACCCTGAAGGTGCCATCATTGTTTTCCTTTACAACACGGCTGTGTGATAAACATTTTTCTTTTGCGCTAACAGAAGTGTAGATTTAATTTCATGGTATTTTGAGCAAAAACTTCTTTAAATTTTGATATAATTCATGGCATACTTCCGATAAAATGGATTATTTTCATTTGTGAAGCGACTATTTTTACCCTTTTCATTTGGGAAACGAACGCCTGTACATTTGATGTAGCAGAGTTTATTGAGATCAGGTTATTTTGTACATAAATGTAGAAAAAATAGATTTGCATTGAGTTTGAATTGTCCTGTATGAATTCATGTCTCCAAATATATTGTTCAGACATCTCTCTGCCTCCTGGTGTTTGTGCTTAAAGGTTTTTGATTATTTGTATTTTTATTGGGTAAAAGCATCAGTATATGATAAAAATGATAAAGTCCTGGTTCCTTTTGTAACGGTGTTTGATGACTGCTCAGTTTCAGTAAGAGTCCTCGTGTCTCAGGGACACTGATCAGTTAAGTGGACAGTGACATCAAGTAGGGTTGAACTTTCTGAGACGTGCTTCAGCGTTTCCTCTTTCACGCGATACCGGGATGATGTCATCTGATGGTGTGTTGGTCATCTCTCGTTTTAGTTGAGTTCATTTAACCTCCTTTAGACCGTTGTTGCAAAGTGACCAAATCACCCAGATGGAGTATCAGGATTAGTACGTTCATCACCAAGCCCTCATGTCCGGTCCTGGTGGAGGATGTACTAGTGGCAAGGGCAATAGGGTTTGTCTATCGCTGCTATGTTATTGAATGTAACAAAACATATAAAAACTAATTATTTTAGTTTTTAAACAAGACAGTAGGCCATTTAAAACACTTTAAAGTTGTTTTCACATTGTAGGCACGTGTGTGTGTGTGTGTGTGTGTTCCCTCTACAGGTCTCTAACTAGAACTTCAAGAAGATGTTGCTGTTTGCTGAAATGTTTTTGGTTTGACGTTAGAGTCTGTTTATGAAACAAAAACTCAACAGTTCAGCTTGTGTTTCTGGGTCGTTAAATCTCTACCAAGGATGTTTGTAACAAATCATATTTTTAGGGGAGAGAAAACAGAAAATTGTGAAAAAATGAACTTTTAGGCACCAACGCTTGCCTTTTAATGACCAAATTGGCTTTTTCCTGAAAGAGTTGCAGGTTTATCATGTTTTTGCGTTTTCCTCGTAATTCTGTTCATCAAGATTTTACGTCTTTAGAAGATCAATACCAGTCTGATAATTAACACAGTCCCCCTTTTCCCCCTGATTCTTTTAGCTCAGAGGCAAGACACACTTGGATATCACTAATCAGTACACATGTAAATTTACAGTAGGTTGATTCACAAATGAAACGACTATCTACTTAACATTTAGATGTAATTGTACTGAAATAAAGGCTAAAAGGCTCATGCATTTGTCTTAAATTTGATGTGAAACCTCAGTGTGTTTAGTCATCAGAGAAATTGGGTAAAGGAAGTCACTGAATGACTGATTTAACAGGTTTGTGCAGGTTTCTGAAGCAACTAAATGTTAGAAAGCCCAAAACCATCAGTTCAGCTCAGACTTAGTTGGCTTTGTAGATCCAGGTATTTCTACAGGCCTGTTTCATGACATTTTGAATTGCAAAATATCAAACTGGTGTAATAATATTGCCTGCATTCCACTCCTGCAGCCATGCATGCTGATTAAATGCAAATAAGCTAACTGGAATGCAGCCCGGTTTATAAACTTGCAGTTTTATCACAGATGCAAGTCAAGCGTTTGCTGTAAAGTAGGCCTTTCATTTTCTCAGCTGCAGATCGTCAGTTTCTTGTAACCATATATGCAAATTGCGTTGCTCGCGTCCATTCAGCACAACGTCTGAGCTCATAGGGAGCGATGCAATCTCAGGTTCGACTGATTTCTGTGAAACACACAGAATATTTTTTGCAAGTCTCTAATGCATCCTTAGCACCCTGACCTGCATGTTTCAGGAGATTTTCTGCTTCAACACCTGATTTAATTTAGTGGCTCATTAACAGGCTTCAGCTGGAACGAACGAGGAGCTGTTGAGATAATTCAGTCGTTAAAATATGCAAGGCAGTGAGAAACGCTAACCTTTACTTTTTAAAATTTCTGCATTTCTAGTGCGGTAAAGATACCCGAGCTCATTTTGAGTGTTAATAGATAAAGCAGCAGCAGCAGCAGCTCTCATCGAGATACAACAGGTAGTAGGTTTATTCCAGGTCCTGCTTCTTCTTTGGTCAGTATAATGAGAGCAGATCGACCACAGACACTCAGCTGACAGACGCCGACTCAGTGATGGGAGCTCTCGTAGCCGTCAGGAAGAGCGTTGGCATGAGGGTTGTGGAACAGAGTGTGGTTTCCATCTCCCCAGGGAAATTTCTGGAATGATACAGGTTAGTATGAACAAGTTTCAGACGAGGCGGTTAACCCATGACCCTGAGGCTCACCTTGGTGCGGATCCTCAGGTGTTGATACGGCACAAACTCTGGTTGTTCGTGTCCGTGAGCCTGCATCTTCATGTAGGCGTTGGCCATGCAGACGGCCACACCGGGCAAGGCCAGGACGAATGTCAGGATCTTCCAGGTCCTGGCTGTGGAAAACACACCCAACCAAAAGTTCAGACTGACACCATACCAGCCTCGGACCAAAATGTGTCTCAGTGCAACAATCATCTTAACTAAGAGTTTGTTGAGCGTAAGGTTGCATTCACTGACCTGCTCCCTCGTGGCTTGATTGTGACGCAGCTGCGAGAACCCGACGAGCAGCTAAAGCAGCTGAAGACATCTGCAGGACAAGTCAAACAAGAGCAGCGTTCCTGTTATCACTCAGCTGGTTGTGATTCTAAAAGGTAACCAAGGTTTAACATAAACAGACCCAGGTTAAAGCTTTAGCACAACAAGAAATCTCAAACATACGCATCCCATGCAACAAGTCTACTCACAGTGGTTCCAGCATTTCTGACATCTGCTCGTCTAAAAATAAACTTAGAGGCGGGCCCTTCTACTGTTGCAGGAATACTCAAAGGTCAAATCTTGTAAACACTTACTTTTTCAGGCGCGCGGTAAGCTTCGCTATCCTCTTTTTTGCTTCTCAGAACTGTTGTTTTTCTGCTTGTTTGTCCTTCAGTCGGTCCCAGGTTGAACTCACCGTGTCAGACTCCTCCCTCTTCAGGTTGTCCCTCAGCCAGGGAAGTTTATATTTGGGAAAGGTCAAAAGTCCTGCTAACACGTGACAGCTGGGACGAGGAAGGAGCTGCAGCAGAGGGCAGTGAGTCTGCTTTAACCACCAGAGGCAGAAAAATGCCGTTTTAGTGGTTACATGAAAGCACAGAGATGATTATCCTGTTAGCAGCAGGGAGTCGATCGCTCCACGGCTGTTCACTAAAAACCACCACAGGGTTCCGCTGGGGGTCGAAGGTTAAATACCGTGTCTGTTTGATGTACCTTTTCAGATAAGTAATATCAGTTTCTCTGTTTTTATTATTATTTGGACGCAAGTTTCCATTTTTATATGTTCCTATAAATTAGAGGTGAATTTTAGAGGGAAAAAATGAAAAGCATTTTGTGTTTGGGCAGCAGGTGGGTGTGTTCAACTCAGAAAGACAACAGTACACTTATTTCAGATTTATAGTCCATCCATCCATCCATCCATCCATCCATCCATCCATCCATCCATCCATTGTTTTCCGCTTTCCTGGAGTCAGGTCGCAGGGGCAACAGCTGAAGTCGAGACGTCCCTCTCCCCAGCTACTTTAGCCCGATTTATAGTCAATTAAAATTTATATTTTTCCCAATTTTTTGGGGAGTTTTAAGAATTAATATTTGAAGCAATAGACAGAATTTAAATATCAATCAATCAATCAATCAAAGCTTTATTTATAAAGCTCCTTCCGCAACCCTGTCAGGAAGCCCAAGGCGCTGAACATGGTACAGTAGAAGTACAAATATATTAAATAAATCAAAATAAAAGCAATTCAAAAATATAAGCAATTAAAAATACAAAAACAGGTGAAACATTCTAGTACAGGACAGATATGTAAAACAAGGGATAGAGTGAACCAATGAAAACTGTGAAAGAAATTCAACGTAAAAGAGGGCCGAATCAAACATGTTCAGGAAACGCCAAGCGGAGAAGGTGTGTTTTTAGGCGACCAAATTGAGTGTACTAAATAATTATTGAGTGTACTAAATAATTATGAAAATGTAAATTATGTAAAATGTGAATTCATTAATTAATGTAAATTAATCAATTTAGGTGAAATATCCAGTAAAATGTGGTTCTTCTGATAATCTATACTGAAAAAAAGGTTCATGTTTATGTATGAATATTTTCAGCAATATATTTGGAAACATGCAGAATGAACTTTTTTAACGCTTTCTGCTTTCGTTGGCACTCGTCTCAGGTGAAGTTTGAGTCTGACACCGCTGGACTCTGGAGCAGCTCTTCAAGAAGAACAAAACGTTCTTCAGCATTAAAAAAGGTATTTTTGCTTTAAATGAACCATTTTAATGAAAAAACATAGGTAGGAATGAATTTGTGACTCTTTTGCTCCGTGCAAAACATTTCCCAAGAATTATTTTTGAAATTTATCAGAATTTTTTTTGTCAAGCCTCTCATCAACATAAAAACATAAAAACCTTCTAATTGGACCAAAAATGGAGATTTGGCATTTTTAAACTGCAGCTGAAGGCTGCACAAAAGCACTCAGAGGCTGGGTCGGGCTTAGTCCCATTTTGGATGACAAGTCTTTCTCTCTCTCTCTCTCTCTCTCTCTTTTTTCTTTCATTCAAAATTAAAACAAATAAAACATATAAACAATAAGAAATGCATAACAAAAAAAATCAAATTTGAATGAAAAGGAGCAGAATGAAGAAAAACATCTTATAATTTCTGCCCCCTTTTCCAGAAGAAATAATCAATTTATAAAAAAATTACCATTTGTCTTACGCACATACAGATTCATTTTAAACTTCTTCCTGTTCTTAATTCCAGTGCGATCAGGATCATTTTCATAATTATTTAGTACACTCAATTTGGTACATCTTTTGAATATATGAAATGACAGTTTTTTTTATTTCCCTTTTAATCTTTAAATCAAAAAGGAAAAGATCCACCAGATGGAGTATTAATGCAATAAATAAGATGTTTCAGTGTCAGTTTAGCACTTGTTTGTCATGTTTGTGGAGTTTCCATCTCCTTTTTCCCATGTGGTTTCTGATTTTAGATTTGCGTTTATTTTTTTAAACCACTGCAGCAACAATATCTCACGTCTCTGTTTAGCCAAAAACGTTAATAGTAAAGCTTAATGCGTCTTTAGAAAGTAAACCATCTTTCCTTCCACTTTAAGCACTTGATTATTTCCTCAGGGATTTTTCAACATCAGATGTTTCGTAGTTTCTGTTCAGATGACTTCACAAACAGCGACAGCAATGCCATACAGCTGGATGACTGATGTTCTTTAAGCAAAAGTAAGTCACTTAAAAAAGGTAGATAGTTCTTTCAGCCTTAATGATGCATTTCAGCAGCATTAAATGATTCTCCGTCCCCCTTCCTTCATCAACGGTGAACATATTCGCCCAAAAGATGAACGTTATTGTCTTTATGGAATTGTCTCCAGTTGCTTTGCGTCATGCGTGACCGGCCATCTTTGTTTAACTTTGCTCTTGCAGTAAAATTGTTCATTTTTCAGCAGTTTCTGGTAAGTTTGCAGCGTTGAGTGCAGCGGTGCATACATTTATTTGAGCTGGGTATGGATGCAGTGCTGAAGGAGCGCAGGATGACTGACAGCCAGATCAAACCCACTCAATGGGTTCTTTATTTGAAATGAAAGAGCTGCATTTCCACCGATGGGTGTGGAGGACACACACACACGCGCACACACACACTGGGACGTGAGGAAACATCGCAGACTCAACACAGCAAAGACTGACACACTGGGGATTTGTAAACACTCCACAGCATCCCTTTGCAGCCGCAAGGTCTGTGCTTACTTCACGCCAGGAGAAAGACAGCTGCCGATTGTGTGTGTGTGTGTGATACAGTAAGTGTGTGTGAATTTGGACTGAGGTGAGGCCAGACTCTGTCCCGTCTCTCATTGGTGAAGCTTTGATTTCTGGGCACTTCAGAGAAGCTCACACCTGAGCTCTTTATTGAGTTTATAATTATCTCCATGGCAACGCTTTCCATGATGGGTGTTACTACACCCTCAAGTCATTTTAGGCAGGCAGGCAGAGCATCCAGACCAGACAGAAGAAAACTATCCCAATGAACCCCTTTTTCTTGTTTTACATTGAAAGTTAAAAGGCTTTAACAAATAAAAAGGTATGATCACTGCTTGTGTTTACATTTTACATCTCCTTGTTTACTGCTACCGTTTAAGACGCTGCACCAACACTGAGCCGATAAATTCAGGGATGTTGGGGCGACTCTGCTGCAGACTCCCGAACAAACCTTTCAGCAGGTTCTCCATAAATAATATCCTGACTGACGGGAGTCTGCAGGCGATGCTGAGCGAGGTAATGCTTCTCTGCTGTGGAAACTTCCACATGCTGACCATAACTGGAGCAGGTCCCATGCAGACAGAATGAATGCAGGGCCAATTATCTCCTGAATGTTTATTTACAGTCTGGCACAGGAAAAGCACTTAGAGGACACCTCCCGAGTTTTACTGTAAGTGACTTGTTCAAGGTGTGCTTTGATTTCTAACCAAACACGTAACTAGAAGTAGTCAGAACCTCCAGAACCGCATATATTACAGAACCTGACTTTAAAGGTCTCCCCCTGAGTCTGACTGGATCATTAAAACCAGCTTTCAGCTGAAACACCTACCTAACACATCACACTGTAGATTCCTTTCTTTAGCCTGCATGCTACATGAAGCTGAACACAAATACTGAGCCCCCTGGAGGTGGCCCACTGTGCTTTACAAGTTGGATGGAGAGGAGCATAAAACCTCTGATAAACACTGCTGTTCCAGTCTCTAGATGGAGAACACTAAGCTCACCACAGCCGAACTCTGGATGATAGCAAAACTCATCGTTTTACCTTTGAAATAGGTGAGCTGTTTAGAGATCCAACTAAGATAAATGTTTAGGCAGCACTTTGAACAAGTTATTGCAACAGAAACTGATTTGCCTCATTGATTTAATTGGACTGGGTATTTCTTTGGGCGTGTAGGTTCTTGCAGAGACGATGAGACCTAAACAGTTAACAGTTAATGTTTAGTAAACTATTTTTCATGTGCGTTTATAAGGTTCATTCACATTCAAACAGTCATTTTGGTGAGAAAAAAGGACAATAAAAAAAAGCCTAATTCTTTTATATACCGTTTGGTTTATTATCACAAATCACAGCCTAATTTGTGCTTTGGGCAGGAACCACGAGCAGAAACGATGGCAACAGAGCTGTTTTTGTATCTGTCTCTCTTATCCACTACAAAAAAGATCATGAGGTGAAAAGATTATTTGTGAATGATGTAAAAATATGTAAACAAAGAAACAAAAACTGTATGTTGAATTTTTATGTCATACAGCGGGTACGGAAAGTATTCAGACTCTCGTCAATTTTTCACTCTTTGTTATATTGCAGCGATTTGTTTCCTCATTAATGTTTACACAACACCCCATATGCACAGAATAACACACAGTTTTAGAAATTCATGCAGAGTTATTTGAAGATACAAATTGAAATATCACATGGTCCTAAGTATTCAGACCCTTTGCTAAGACATCCGTATTTAACTCAGTTGCTTTCCATTTCTTCGGATCATCTTTGAGCTGGTCCTACAGCCTCATTGGAGTCCAGCTGTGTTTGATTATATTGATTGGACTTGATTAGGAAAGCCACACACCTGTCTAAGACCTTACAGCTCACAATGCAGGTCAGACACACACACACACACACACACACACACACACACACACACACACACACACACACACACACACACACACACACACACACACACACACACACACACACACACACACACACACACACACACACACACACACACACACACACACACACACACACACACACACACACACGTATATCTTTATATATATGTTTATATGTGTATAAATATGTGCATATATGTGTGTATATCTATATATATCTATATCTCTATCTATATCTATCTATCTATATATATGTATGTATATGTATAGGTATATATATGTATATGTGTATATAAATATGTATAAGTATATATTTGTATATGTATATATATAATTATGTATATGTATATATGCATATGTATATATATATATATATATGTATATGTATGTATATGTATATCAATATATATATATATATATGTATATGTATATCTATATATATATATATATATATGTATATGTATATCAATATGTATATGTATATCAATATGTATATGTATACAGAGCGTCGGTACTGACACCCGCCGTAAAATGGACATTTAACCTAATTGTGACGTTTAACCTCTTGCAATTTAACCTTCCCCTCACCCCCATCCTAACCTTAACCAGCTTGCGCATGCAAAGCTCTGATTGTTGACGTGCTCCAGACATCTGCGTCCTGAGCACGGCCACAGTAACATTATTAAATCAGGTGTCGCCACCTCAAAAACAAATTTAACACGCGATCGTTCATGTCAGATCATTTCCTTATATGTTTTCTGTCTTTTATTCTTTTATTTGTGCCTGATGCAACCCGCTGCTGTGGAGCGAGGCGCATCACCTTGTCCTCCGGTGATGCACCTCACTGATGCGGCCGGCGAGCAGCGCTCACTCCACTGTTTCTGTGGTCGTTAGATCTTTTAGAACTGCAGTTCAAAGGTAACTCATGAGGTGAAGATATATGAACCCAGGTAGCAGTTTTTCTTTAGGATTGAGAGGAGATGCAGGAAGATAATAAACAGGCAGGTCAGAAAAATAGTCAAATAAAAACAAGTTAGTTTTTGTACCTGCTGGTTGCAACAAACAGACACCACTGAAGGTAATCAGAAGTGAGGAACAGAAAATGAAATAATTATTTTAATGTTTAGAGCAGCAGGAACTCTGAGAGGCTGCAGGCGCATCAGTGAGTTTGCGGCCGCTGCGCAGGGGGAGGGGGGAGAGGGCTGAAGCAGAAACTACCGTTGTTAAAAGAAATGTGTTGGAAATGTGGGCGCAATTTTAATTGTCAAAAACTCCAGAGAACCAACCGACAACCAACAAATAGGAAAAAGAGGCTACAATTTGTAACAGCTCACCAAAATTGGACAGTAGAAGACTGGAAAAATGTTGCCTGGTCTGATGAGTCTGGATTTCTGTTGAGACATTCAAATGGTAGAGTCAGAATTTGGCGTAAACAAAATGAGAACATGGATCCATCATGCCTTGTTACCACTGTGCAGGCTGCTGGTGGTGGTGGTGTAATGGTGTGGGGGATGTTTTCTTGGCATACTTTAGGCCCCTTGGTGCCAATTGGTCATCGTTTAAATGCCACGGGCTACCTGAGCATTATTTCTGACCATGTCCATCCCTTCATGACCACCATGTACCTGTCCTCTGATGGCTACTTCCAGCAGGATGAAGCACCATGTCATAAAACTCCAATCATTTCAAATTGGTTTCTTGAACATGACAATGAGTTCACTGTACTACAACGGCCCCCACAGTCACCAGATCTCAGCCCGATAGAGCATCTTTGGGATGTGGTGGAACGGGAGCTTCGTGCCCTGGATGTGCATCCCACAGATCTCCATCAACTGCAAGATGCCATCCCATCAATATGGGTCAACACTTCTAAAGGATGCTTCCAGCACCTTGTTGAATCAATGCCACGTAGGCGAAAGGGGTCAAACATCGTATTAGTGTGGTGTTCCTAATAATCCTTTAGGTGAGTGTATATATATGTATGTGTGTGTGTGTGTACACATATGTATTTTATTTTACATATACATTTAATATACATATTATATTTATAGTTGTTTAACTTTTTTCCATGTTGGATATTGAGGAGAAAATGAACGCCAATGCAGCGTGACATGATGACCTCATCAGTATGCAAATTAGTGTGTGACATCATCTGGCAAATCTATTGACTTTCTGGGTCGACTTCAGCTTCTTATTGTCGAAGGCAGGTGGCAACACTGGTTTGGAAGATTTCTTAGTTATTCTGAGTCAAAATTGGACAAAGCATTTGTGTTATTACATTTTCATTTGAATTGTTATTTATACCTCGCATAAAAAATAAGCCAAAATATTGCCCCCCTACACACTTTCCTTACCTTGTACAAAACTCAAAGCTCTTCATTGCTTCAACATCTAAATGACTGACACACTTCTTACAGATGAGACAGAAGCAGACAGACAAATGTTTAGAGGTGAATCATGGATGAAGGAGTCATGAGTCAGACAGGGGTTGTGTTATTGTCTTGAGCTCTGTACCACCAGGGGAGACGATGTGGTGGTCCACACATGTGACTGAAGTTTTCCTAAAGCTCCCTTAAAGCAAGAGGTTTAATCATAATATGTGGTTTTCTAGTTTGCATTTTGTGCTGCCGTGCACGCGGTCAAGACATAAACTTTACGTTAAGAATTAGCTTTCCGGGCATTGTATAGAAAATGATCCTAAAGACTGTTGTTACGTCCTTTCTGGCCTCAGCAGACTGCAGTTTGTTGTTTTAGCGAGCCAAGTAATGCACAAACCTCTGTAGGAAATTCCAAGTGACTTGAAATAGCATTTTAGCCACTGATCATAGATCCACACAGAACAAAAGGTCATTGCAGAGCCTGTTTTAAGAGCACCGATTCTTTTAATGTGTCTTTTTGTTCTTCAAAGGTGTTGTGCGAAAAATCGGTGAATGCAAAGCAGACTTCAGAGCAGCTGAATGTTCACATGAAATCATATTTGTGAAAGGATACCTCACTTGATAGAAAAAATGTTTTTGTGCTCATTGCTGTTCATTTTTATGTAAAGTCTAATTTTACACTTGAAAAATATGTTTTATTTGTAGTTGTTTAGTTTAGTTTTAGTTCTGTGGATCAGAACACATTTTAGCATCACTGACGGAGACACTGCATCTTGTGAGTTTAGAATAAAAAAAACTTTCAAACTATGCAAAAGCTCCTTTATTTTCTTTTACATGGTACAAAATACGTCCCCTAATTGTCTTATTTTTAGGCACAGAGATCTCTTTAAAAATAACATTCCTGACATCTGTGATCAAGTTTAATGTGTGAAATCAGGAATAATTAGCTCAAATATTTTTTCCTCCGAGAAATTTGTATAAACACACATCCAATATTGATGTTTACAAGAAGATTTGAGCTTTCTTTATGATGCACGTGTGTGTTGTGTGGTCTCAGCTAATGGAAACACACTGCTTAGTCAGATGTGTGTGTGTGTGTGTGTGTGTGTGTGTGTGTGTGTGTGTGTGTGTGTGAGAGAGAGAGAGAGAGAGAGAGAGAGGGAGGGAGAGAGAGCAAAAAAGACAAAGTATATAAGACCCTATGAGGCAGCAAAACTTTAATTTCCAGCGTTCCTGTTTCCCGTCCATCAGCTGGTTCTCTCCCAGTCTTTTGAACACCGACTGCTTCATCATGCTGCTCCAAGCGCTGCTGCAGACGTCGTTGGTCCTCTGGTTGGCTCAGCCAACGCTGCAAGGCGGTGAGAAATACACAGTTTTAAAATACATTTTTAAACAATTAAAACTTTTATCACATTTCAGGTAGCCATCATGATGATTTCAGTACTTCAGGACAGTATTGTAATATTTCCTAGAATACAGAAGTTTGCCTTATTTGACTGAGGTATTTATTTATTCGTATGAGAATTATATATTCACACTTTCTGAGTCTGCAGTTTAATTAAAGGTTTTGCTTGTTTGACTTAGTTTTACATTTAACTCTCTCTTGCATAGTTTTAAGGTGTGTGAAATATGACTAGAGTTTTGAAATGTGCTATAAAAATACCTCAATGTGTGTGAGAAAAAATAAAGCTGGAAAAATACATTTCCTTTTTAAAGAGAAGTCATTTCCATGCATTTGGATTTTTGTTCAGGTAAAGCTGCAAAAATGAGCAATTTATTCATTTTTGTGAAACATTCTTAAAAAATAACGTTTGGATCTGTATCAAAGACTCTGACTTGACTGATGAGTTTCACTTACATGTTACATATCAAGTCTGTGAGACAGAAAGAAAGAAAAAAAACCCTGCTGGGCTTTTGGCTCCAGCATCATCAGTCCTGCCAAGTCAGTGTGGTTTATGTTCTCTGATTTTACCGAATCAAAGGAGGCGATAAAAAGTTGACAGAAGCAGGAAAAATCTGACAGCAGAATGTGAGGAGAACCTGCAGGCTCCAGCTATAAAAGCCTCCTGTTGCAACATGAGATCACGACTCCCTCAGACAGTTCTCACACATTTGAAATGAAATAGTGTCTTCCTTCATTGTTCTGATTCTTTCTAAAATAGTTTGATCAGACCATTTAACACAATTCCTTGTGCTAATACTGCATGTGAATAGACTTCATCAATTAATAATAGTTTTTCATCATCTGAATAATTTGACGTACTCTTGAATTCATTTAAAATGAATGTCATACCACAGCAGACAATGTTTCTATGTTTTGTGTATTTTTCTAAACTTTTATTAATTTTTTTTAGGATAACCGACTTTTTTTGCAATGATATTATTTTCTTTGTTTCAGGGGTTCAGCCTCAGAGTGTATCCTATGGACGAGTGCTGCCAGTTCAAAGTACGTATCCATGCAGCTTGATTAATCACTTTAAAAGCAGTTATGATACTCCTCACAGAAATCCAGCTCTCTAGTTGTGAAGTTGTTGCTGCATGCATTTTTTCTCATTTCTGCATCAGATGTTGGTGTTGGAGTAAAACCTGGAGGTGAGTCTGTCTCCTATTAAACTAATGCCAATATTAGTAGCTAAATCACAAATAGTGCTTTAAATTACTACAAGTGATTATTGTGCATGCACTAGTGTATAATTTGTATTCTGTGCTGGAAAATCAATTAAACAACCACAAGTCCTCTAAAGCTGGAGAAATATTACCGTACTAAGTGTAATAAGTGTAATAAGTGCTCCCTAATGTAAAACACACAAGTGCCAACACCAGATACAACAATGTATTTATCTACTTACCTACCACTTTATATACCAGCTCAGTGGCCTAGTGGTAGAGTGTCCGTCCTGAGACCGGGAGATCAGGGTTCGATTCCTGGTCGGGTCAAACCAAAGACTTTGAAAAATTGGGACCCAATGCCTCCCTGCTTGACACTCAGCATTAAGGGGTTGGATTGGGGGGTTAAACCACCAAATAGTTCCCGAGCACGGCTGTGTCTGCAGCTCCTCCCCCCTCCCCCCCCCAGGGGAAGGGTCAAATGCGGAGAACAAATTTTGCTCACGCATCAGTGTGTGTGACTAACGGGACTTTAACTTTACTTGTCAACTTACTGTGTATGACTTATCTTCACTTGTCATCCAGAATCTTCTGGACAGCCATGAAACTCACAGAACAGCAGTGAGAATGTGATTGCAGTAACCACATTTGACCACAGGATGTCATTCTTACATATTGCAACTTTAAATACTGAGCCGTTACAGTGCAGAAGGTGCAGCATAAGAAACAACCACTGAAAGGCTGATGAATACATGAAAGTTTTCAATTTTGATATTAAAAGTCACTAGAGTTGTGCAGATTTGTGATCACAAGGCGATTCTACCTGTGTGAAGCATAGTAGCTATAAGCAGCTTCACCCTGATTGGTTCTGATCCGGGGCTCTACCAGCTGACTGCTTCCTGAGGATCTTAGAGCCCTGCTGGGTGTAGATACAGTGAGGACACATGCATTTTTGCCCCACACCACTGAGTGATTTATAAACTAGTAAAAGCACTTTGAACTTGATTTATATTAAATATTATCATGGGCTATTATGGGCTGCCTAATGATGCAGTTGGTAGCACTGATGACAAAAAGAAGGCCACAGGTTTGAATCCGAGCTGCAGCCTTTCTGCACGAGTGTAGCGTGTTCTCTCCATGCATGTGTGGGTTTTCTCTGTGCACTCCAGTTTTCTCCTACTGCAAGGAGGCCTGTTGCTGCAGGGACAGCAGTAGCTCAGGAGGTAGAGCAGGTTGCAGGTTCAATCCAAGCTCTGACCAGAGAATGGTGCTGTTGTGTTCTTGGGCAAGACACCTAACCACCTTGCCTGCAAGTGGTGGTCGGAGGGACCAGTGGTGCCAGTGTTCAGCAGGCCCCGCCTCTGTCAGTGCTCCCCAGGGCAGCTGTGGTTATTCATAGCTCTTCCCCACCAGTGTGTGAATGGGTGAATGACTGATTGTGTTGTGAAGCGCCTTGGGGGGTTGTTGAACCTTAAGGTGCTACACAAATACAGATACAAATATACGATTGAAACTTATGTGACAGTATAACATGACTAATTCAAAGAGCAAAGCGGATCGGTTTGTAGTTTAGTGCTTCCGAACATAACTTGCTGCATCAAGCGATCCTTTTCTCTTTCCTTTAAGTTACGGGAGCCCTTGGAGCGCTGGGCAGCCGCTACAACACAAAAGCTATGAAGACTGGAAGTATGCTGAACTCTTGTAACAACACAATTATCTCAAAAACCATTAATGCCAGAAAGGCTCATGCTATTTTCTGTTGGTTTGTTGTCATACTTAATCAGTTGGACGTTATCCTGCCGCTCAACTCGGTGTTGGTAAGCACTCATCAAACGTTTACATCAAATGTTTTTGCACAAAACCCAGAATCAGACCCCCCCCCCCCCCCCCAATCCCATTGATAAAATACAAACTGCTAATTTATTACCTTGTTTTTATGATTATAAGTCTGAACAAAAATGAATAATGTTTAATATTGACTCATTTGGGATGAAACACAGCAGAAGTGAAACTGCTTTTTTATTTGTTTTCCACAGGAGGTTATAGATCTCTCGGTTTGGGAGCCAGAGGCCTGAAGCAAGGTGGATATGGAGCCCAGGGAGTTTATGGTAACGGATCAAATCCTCACAGCCTGTTTCCACTGATGTCCGCCTCCTTTTGCTCCTGTTTATTTATCTCTGCTGTGATTGCAGGTGCCAGTTTGGGAACAGGAATGGGTCTGGGCCCAGGACTTACTAATGGACTGGGATTTGGTTTGGGCCAAGGCGGAAAACGTGGTGAGACTGACAGAAAGGGAGCGTTTATACTTTACACCCCAGAACAATTCTGTCATATCTGGCCTGTATGGAATACCAGGGTATTGGCAATAATCCATTTTTTGGCAACGTATTGCAGTTTTAAGTTCAGAAGTCTGAGTATTTCAAACCCCATTGCTTCAAACATTAAATGAAATGAAATTAAATTAAATTATCGCTGTAGTTTCACAGCTACCTTAAACCAGTGTCTGTGATTTTTGCAGCTTACGGTGCTGGTCTTGGAACTCTTCCAGGTACATAAACTGACATTGTCTTTTTCTTGTGTTTGTTATAAATACAGTGAATTACATTTCCCCTGAGCCTCTGCTTGTTTGTAGTTGTCTGTTAAAACGTCTGTGGAGCTGATTTAATGGTGCAGACAACATCTGTAAACAGTGTTTGTCTGAATAGACGATAAAACGGCTCCTGTTTCCTTTCCTTGCCAGGATATGAAGCTTTTGGAGGCGCTGGGTATCCAGGAGCTCGACCAGGTGAGTGCTGCATCGTGTCTTCATCACTTCCTGTGCATAGTTTAATTTGCGGGGAAACACACTCTGGTTTTATGCATGCAGATAAAACAAAAGCATACCTTTTATAAATCCCATATCAATGACATTGTAGCTAATTATCCTACAATTTAATCCACAGCTTCACAAATATATTTACGGTTTTCAAATAAAAACCAGCTTCTGCTTTAACCCTCTGGGGGCAGGTGTTGCAGATTTGCCCACCTGGTTACTCCACATTCGGATTTCATGAGCATTTTTTAACTCAGAAGTACCCCTGAAGGACTTAGTTGTTCGTCCTTTTATCAAAACTTATTTTGAGCCTGAGAGCATTAAAATGAGTTCAGGTTGAGTGAGTCTTCTATCAGCGGGGTCAAGAGAGAACAAACTCATTTTACACTTTATCTTTGTTGTGTGTGTGTCCGCACATCTGTAAGTGTTTTTATGGTTCATTAATTATGAGGTTAAGTTGTTTTTTATTTGCTTGAAGCCGTACCTGTAGGATAGCCAAAGCTAACGTTTTATTTTTGTATCAACACATTTTCCTGTGCTGTTCGTGTGTGTGTGTGTGTGTGTGTGTGTGTGTGTTGCTGCCTACTGAAGAAGTGTTTCAGCTTGAGGTTACGTGAATCAGAGGGCTGATGAGCATAAAGTTTTAATGGGATTCACAGGAAGACGTAAAAAACTCGTGGAGTTTTCCCTGAGAGGCGCCGTATCGTCGTTCAGGGCTACTAATCGTCATGTGTGACATGCATATTGTCTAAACTCACATGACTCAACTGAGGGATTTCCCCATTCTAAACATTCACATTTCAGTTGTAAAAAAATGTGAAACTTTGTGCTGAAAATTCAAATGGATGAATATCACAGATGATTTTAGAGAAGTGCAGAACTTTGCTCTGTGATCCTTTGTTGCAGACACCTGTCTGCTGTAGCGCTGTGGAAGATAATCTGCATTTGTTAAATGTTTATTTTATTTATTAAGAGAGCAAAGCTATCCAAACCAACCTGGCCATAAATGAAAAGGTTACAAGGACCCTTCCGGTCGACTCATCGGTCCCTGGAAGAACAAAAAATTGAATGCAAATCAACGAGGCTAAAAGAGCTATTTTCTAATCCGCTTTGTCTTGAGCCCTGCATCACACAAGTTGTACTTTATTTAAATGAAAAGGAGCAAAGTGTGTTTCAACCATCCCACTCACGTTCTTTGATATTTATCAGCTAGTAAAAGTTTGTAATTAGCAAGGCTACAAATCAAACATGCCACATTTATGACGTCACCACAGAATCTCCTCTCCCCTAGCGTAGCTGCTACTTACCACATGGCCAGATTCATGTTGGTTATTTCCTCCTGAAGGAAGGGTTTGGAGTTACTTACAGACATTTTTCCTCTGCTCTTTTCCGTGACTGGTTTGATGACGTCACCTTGGTGATGCACATTTGTAGTTCTGGATATATTTTTACAAAAAACCAGAAATATCGTTTCCCACCATTTGAAACAAGCCCGTTCTTGGCACTAGGGGTTGCATGACTTAATTTTTTAAAAAGTCGACAGTCAAGTAATGAACATCGAGTCGACTTCGACTAGTCGTTGATGACGTCATACACCTGAAGCGGCGGTGGGGGGGTTGGTTCGGTGGAGTTTTTGACAATTAAAATTGCGCCCACATTTTCAAAGTTAAACACATTTCTTTTAACAACGGTAGTTTCTGCTTCAGCCCTCTCCCCCCTCCTCCTGCGCAGCGGCCGCAAACTCACTGATGCGCCTGCAGCCTCTCGGAGTTCCTGCTGCTCTAAACATTAAAATAATTATTTCATTTTCTGTTCCTCACTTCTGATTGCCTTCAATGGTGTCTGTCTGCTGCAACCAGCAGGTACAAAAACGAATTTGTTTTTATTTGACTATTTTTCTGTCCTGCCTGGTTATTGTCTTCCTGCATCTCCTCTCAATCCTAAAGAGAAACTGCTACCTGCGTTCATATATATTCACCTCATGAGTTACCTTTGAACTGCAGTTCTAAAAGATCTACCGACCGCAAAAACAGCGGAGTGCGAGCTGCTCGCCGGCCACAGTGCGTCACCAGAGGACAAAACAGATGATGCGCCCCGCTCCACAGCAGCGGGGTGCATCAGGCAAAAATAAAAGACAGAAAACATTAAAGGAAATGAGCCGACATGATCGATCGCGTTACATTTGTTTTTGAGTGGCGACACCTGATTTGATAATGTTACTGTGGCCGTGCTCAGGACGCAGATGTCTGGAGCGCGTCAACGATCAGAGCTTTGCATGTGCAAGCTGGTTAAGGTTAGGATGGGGGTGAGGGGAAGGTTAAATTGCAAGAGGGAAAAAGTCACAATTTGGTTAAATGTCCGTTTTACGGCGGGTGTCAGTACCGACGCTCTGGCACAGCGCGTCGCCTCCGCCTCGATCCAGACGCGCAGGTGCTCGTCACCTGCTGTCTTTTCCGAGGACTGCATCTTGTCATTATCACGTGACAGCGACTAGTTGATGACAGGCATAAAAAGTCACTACAGAGCAGTGAAGTCGACTACTCGACTAGTTCATACAACCCCTACTTGGCATCAAAATGCATTTTTAAAATTCACTGACATCATGAAACCCATGCCAAATAACAAACAGGATGGAAGCAGCATTTTTAGCCCCATCGACTTGCATTCATTTTTTCATTCTTCCTGGGACCCATGGTCCAGAAGTAGATGGGTGCGACTTAGGCTCCCTACTGGACCCAAACCTGGCTGTAACACTTTTAGTGTGTCTGTTGTGTTTGTAAAAACGGAAATCTAGTTTCTCACAGTGCTATGGAGTATGTTGTCCCACTTTCCTTATAGAACTGTTTTAATGTAAGGACATTGGAGATTTTGGACAGTCTGTTTAGGGTCAAAGATCAGATATTCTCCTTCAGGATTTTCTATTAGAGAGGAAGATTCATGGTTCTGTCAGTTACAGCAAGCAGTCCAGGTCCTGAAGCAGCAAAGCAGACCCAGCCCATCACACTTCTACCACCGTGTTTCAGTGTTGGTGTGATGATGTTTTCCTGATTTTTAATACCAGAAAGAATGGGACACACAACTTCCAAATAGTCCCACTCTTGTCTCAAATGGCTACAGATTAAAAAAATAATAAAAAAAAGTCTCAAGTATCATCAAGATGCATGAGACAGATGTGAGACTATTTTGGTCAGCAGAGGTTGTGTTCATTTTCATAAACGTCATTTTTCTTCTGTCCTGTTCTTAATGTTGAGTCATGACCTCTTACCCTTACCTAAACCAAGTGAGGCCTGAAGCGCTTTGGATGTTGTTGGTTATTTATTTCTTACACTTGTTAAAAACAGGGCCCAGTGTGTTGCTTTTTGAGATCTTTCAGCCTACTTCCTGTTGTCAGCCCTGGGTGTGGATAAATTAGCTGAACTCAGCTTTCCAAATAATGCAGTTAACAACCAATCAGCAGTTAGCTGCTTTGTTTCCTTAATCAATTCAATAATCATCTTTATCTTTTCATCTGATTTATGTTTGTGTTTAGTGGTACTGACTGAATTCATGCTGTTTTGGCACATCTTAGATTACAGATTACGTAAGAGCTGGTTTTGTTAAACCCCTTTATTTAATTAATACTTTCCCTGAAACTCAGACTGCGTTGTTGACGAGGAGTTATTTCAGTCCTTGTGTGCATATGTAGATCATTCAGTGTGTTTCCTGTGAAGGAAGCGCTGTTGTGTGTGAGCCTGCAGGAAGTTGTGAGTGCATGATGATATTTCTCTGCCAGGTGTTTCTGCAGCAGATTTGGGTGGACCTGAGGTGGCCAGTCTGGGCCCATCTCTTCAAGATCTTAAGAGACAAAAGAGCAGAGCTGAAAGTCACTTGTATGGAAACCAAGGCAGAACTCTTGGAGCTGAATCCCCCATGGAGAGGAGAACCGGTGAACTCGGTCGGTCGGTTCCTGAGCTACATGCAAGAATTGAGGTCAAAAGCATCGATCCAGTCCTTCAGTCATCCAATCTCAGACCCACAACCCCTCTCCAACAGCAGGAGAAACATCTTGGTGCTGTTTCACAAACACAAAGAGCCCATGCAGCGATCAAAAGTGGAACAGCATTAGCAGCAGCGGGCGTGAGAATACAACTTCCTGTTGATAAAGACTTCAGACGTGTAGAATTGTCTCAGACACACAACTCCAGAGATTCATCCATGCAGCAGAACCTAAGACCTGGAGACAGTGGATCTCCTGATGAGTTATCAGAGAGGTTAGGCATCAGCCACTTTGGCCTTTTGGGATCACAGAGGCAAAGGCTTCAGAGGTATTTCGCCCAGCCCCATGCTAGTAAAATGGACAAACATCATGCGCTCGTGAACCCGTCTTCACAAGAGAGGCCCTATCCTTCTCTTCCACAAGGTCAAGACCCCAGGAGCAGTTTGTTCTCCACTGGACAGCAGCCGGATAAAAGAAACCCTTTATCCACGCTGGCAAACAGACAGGGCGACAAAGAAGCTGGGTCTACAGACAAAATAGGACTTCACATCAGAGTCCAGCAGCACTATGGTCCAGTGAGCCCAGGTGGAAGCAGAACTCAGAGTTTGGGTATTGTCTTGGCTGAAGAAGGGCACGACGCTCAAAAGTTTCCTGAAGAGGACGCAAAAGACTTTTCTCAGGCAGAAAAAACTAAAATAAAGCCAAAATCTTTCTATACCCCAGGGCAGACTGGGGGGAATACGCAAGCTGCAAGTAAGAAACAAAGATTTACCTCCCTCTGTATGACTTTTGATGGTTTTATTCATTCATGAGATCCACTCAAACGTTTCCTTTACCTCGTGTCTTTGCTGGTTATTCTAGATCGTGTGGATTGGCCTCCACTCAGTCTTTTTTTTTTAACCTTTTTTAACTCAATTAATTTCAGGCTTCAAGCAGGACAACAAACCAGGAAGCACCAAACAAATGTCTGCCACAGCTGTTGATGGATCGGACCCTTTTTGCACACTGATCTGGATTAAAAAATATTTCTGCAATGCGTTGAATGACAATGCTAATGTAAAACTGATGTTTTGTTGACTCTTTTGGCTTACAACTGCTTAGATGTGATGATGATGATGGTCTCTTAACCACAGGTTTGGCTGCTGGGGCAGAAATGCTATTCTCAGTCATGCTACTCCAATGTTTTCATGTAGCTTTATTTGTCTGTGTCACGCACGACTCGTGAAGTCTGTTTCAGGTTGTTTGGCTTCTGATTTTGAGAATTTCTGGATTAATTCCAGGATTGTTACTGCAAAGAAACCAATTTTCTTTGAAACAAAGATGCTACTGTTTCCCTCCAGTGTCAGTTTCATACCTCAAATACGTTTACACCTTCCGTGAGATCCATTATAATGAAGACTGTGGAGAAAAGACGTTTTCCACGTGAAATCACAGCCCACAGTGATTTGCTGCTGGATTTCTCTGCAGGCTATCTTGGTGGAGCAGGAAACTACCAGGGCGCAAGCCTGGGAGCTGTAGGCTATGGAGCAGGTAATGTTTGGAGCAGCAAATGGAAATATTCAGTAAACGTGGGCAAGCACCTGGTAAAAAGTTCCCATCTTCTGCTCACAGGTCTGGGACAGGGGGCGTACCTGGGTGGCGCAGCTGGAAAGCTTAGTGGTAAAACTCTTTGTTTTTGATTTGGAGATGAATGTAAGTTTTGCATTTGTTATTTCACACATTCAGTTTTTTCTCTGTTTTAAAAATGAATCTAAATCTTAGCAGCTGCTGCGCTTGGACAAGGTGGGTATCCCCAAGGTGTTCCAGGCAAGACAAACGGTGAGTGTCATTTTATTTTATTGAGCTCTATAGTAATTTGTTTCTTACCTTTGAAAATTTTAATTGTAACTATAATTGTCACTCATTTTGAAATCTATATCAATACGAGTGTGATTAGAAAAAGAAAAGAAATAAAAAAAGTAGTTTTGACTGATGCTCAATGGTGAGTTGTGCCATTTTTAGAACATACCTGCAGGCACCTGATGTGCCCCCCCCCCCCCCCCCCCCCCCGATACCAGGTTGATGATCTCTGGTTTAAAGCGATGAACAAAACTTTCAATTATCCAGTGATTCACTCCTCCTTGATGTTAAATCGTTTAATATTCAGTGATTAACTATTTTGGTCAATCTAAGGACTGCTGGCTTGCATCAAAAGCGTAAAACATGATTTCTGTTTAAATATCAGAGCTGATGTTTGGGATTACTGCTGGGACAAAAGGAACTTTAACTCACTCTTATGTAAATTTACGAGCTTGCCAGGAAAAGCTCGGTTACGTTTGATAAAGAAATTTTGTTCTGAAGCTGAACCCAGACGAGGACTCAGAGCCAGAGATCAGGAAGTCAGACGCTGCTCCTACTTTGCCTTGTAAACCGACCATTTGCCTGTGTAATTACAAGCTCTGCTCCTCTTCAGCTTTCTTAAAAGATTTTACTGGAAACTCTGGTAACACTTTACAATAAGGGTCCCTTTATTAACCAAACTTAGTGTAAAACTCTTGCTGTAGCTTTATTTTGTGGTGAGCATTAATCCTTTTTTAACATAATCTGGTGATCACAGATAAATTGTACAAAACAAAACAGAAATCCGCTTTTCTCTTTGTCCAAATCTAAATGGATGAGTCTAAACGTCATCTCATTCAAAAGGTGTCAAAATGTGTCATGACAGGTTATGGTGATGGCGTAACGGGATACCTCGGCGCTGTGGCAGGTAACGGCTTTGGTAGGTGACACATCAGCAGAGAGAGAGAGAGAGAGAGCGAGGTTTTGGCTCGCATCTGCAGCACCCTCAAACATCCTCTTCACTTATAGTCCAAAATATTTCCTTGTGTCTTCTCCACAGGTTATGGGAATGGATACAGTGATGGTTACGGAGCTGGTGAGTGCATCACTAAATAGAGAAAAAAGCCTTCTTAATGAGTAACGAGCCGATACAGATAATTAGTGATAATTAGAAGTATATTTCAGGGCTTGATTACCCTGCAGAGTAATGGGCCATTTCCATCTGTACCGGGTCGGCCCGGGCCGGGTAGCGTAGGTTGTTTACATATCTGGGTGGCCTGGTATTTTTTCGGGCCAACCAAGGCTCATTCTCAGCCCTCTTCTCGAGGGGGTCTGCTTCAGGCCGACCAGGGCCAACACGCCCACTGCTGACAGCAAATTCACACCTTCCATTAGAGCAAGCCTCTGATTGGTGGGTAGAATCAGCCCACATGGGCTTAAGACTTAAGGATGTGTGGAATCAACCGGGCCAGGCTGGGGCCGACTGGGGCTACCCGGCCCGGGCCGACCCGGTACAGATGGGAATGGCCCATTAGCTGATGGTGCTGAGAGCAAAGCAGGAAAGACTGAAGGTAACAACAACCTGCTGAAAACCTCTTAACAGGTGATGACACTAACCAGTGGGGCTTAACGCTCAAAGTAAGACGGCTTAAACAATTAAACACCAAAACCACTGTAGTTGCATCTCTACTGGGCGCTGCTGTTGAGTCTTAGTCATTGAAGCTGACCAGTTGTAGCTGCTGGTTTCTGATTTCCTTCTGTAGATGCTTTAATTATCTCTCATTAATGAGTTGATGACCAGAAAAGCTGAAAAATGTTTTTTTTCCCCCTGACGTTTCAGCCCTGAGCACAGGAGGCTACACAGGACAGCCCCAGGGGCCGTACGGTAAGGAACGATCCATTTGGGAACATAAGTGTTGGTCAGGTCAGAAGGTTTGACGTGAACCAACACAGAACAATGCACCGATAGACTGAAAGCATAGTTTTATTCCAAGTTTCTTAGCTGAAGTAGACAGCGGCCTTTAGGAGATTCGGGGAGAAGGTTAACAAAGCTAACAGGAGGGCCAATCAAGAGCTAACTCAGGCCACGATTCTGAAAAAAGGACGAAAAATAATTTGCCTCAAATTTTTTGTTTGTGTTTAATTTCTCTAAAATGTGCGATGTTTTATTCTAACAAATAATTTTGAAAATCTTTGTGAGACATAAACAAGAACAAACAGCATCACATTTCCTGGATCTGGTTGGTCGTTCTTCATCTTAAAAACCCATTTTAGTCTATTTGCATCAACAATTCTAGCTGTAATCCAGTGAGGGTTTATGATTCTGTTTTTCATTAAATTAATTGGAAAGAAAAACATTGTTAATAAAAGACAAACACCAACTTGGTGGGTAACTTTTCCCATCTTTACAAAATTTCAATTTGTCATCATTTATTCATCATTTCTTGTATTTTAAACCAACAGAAACAGAATAAATGTATTTTCTCTAATGATAATGAATTTTATTTTCAATTATTTTAGGAGCACTTGCTACAGGACTGGACTCAACTGCTGGCAAATATGGTGAGTGATGCAGCAACAACCTCTGTTGCATCCTTAGTCTGTGTTAAAGATCACAGAGAGCCTTAAATTACGGGAAGATGAATCCGTTTTGCCTTCTCCCTCCTCTTTAGGAGCAGGAGCTGCACAGGTTCCTTATGGGAATGCTCCTGTAATTCCTGCAGGACTGGAAGGTAAAAGAACTTCAGTTGCATGCAACTTTAAGCGTCACTGCTGTGAAATGAGTCCAACAACGCATGAACAACCAACTAAACCACAGTGTTTTTTAGTCTGAGAAATGGGGTCTTGACCTCACTTTTACATATTTTTTCTCACAAGATGTCAGACACATCTGGTAAATTTATCTGAATCATTCCTGAGAAACCTGCAAATTAAAATGTTGCCATGTTGGTTTAATCATCTTATTTCCATGATGCAAAAACTTTAAAACCTCCCTCCCTCATTGGAAAACAGTGTTTTCTGTGACATCCTGTCTGCTGGTGACACCATCGCAGCTTTCAGACTTGCCGAATGCGTCTATTATGGTCTGCTATTCTTTTAGGTAACGGAGGCTACCCGTACGCCGCTCAGCAGCTCGGCCTCACTGCTGAAGGTGCCAAAGCCGCCAGCAAATATGGTGAGGATGAGTGTGACAGAAGTGTGAGTAGCTGTGCATGTTGGGAAAAGGCTGTTAGTGTGGGATGGTCCCTTTTATTTAACCAGACTAACTTCCTCTGAGGTTGGGAGTAAAACATGTACACATTCAGAGCAGTAAGGGTCACAGTGCAATGTAAGGTCATGAAAGTATAAAAGTAACATTAGTTGTTAGGCCATAATAGTGCAAGATAAAAGTTTTTAATTTTTTATTCAAACATCCTAGTTTTATCATTTTTTAGCTCAGTAGGATCGGTCCACTGCAGCTAAGGCTTTATGCGAGGCAGCTTTCTTTATACGGCACGGTTCACACACAAACTCAATTCAATGTGCTTTCCGTTGGTGTGATTAGCACAAATATTACAGTAATGTGAGAGCACAATAAAATGTGTGGTTCACTTGTTTAATCAATGCTTTTGCAGTGGTCTCTAGTAGGAATGAATGCCCTGTAAGTCTGACTCTGGGTACAAAAAGCCCTGGTGCACCTATTTCAGGATCTAGAAGATTGCCAGATCAGAGGAGAGCTTCAGACGGCAGGATTTGGAGTCTTACTTCCTGAAATGTGGACATCTCACCCCTGATTGGCTAACAGCAATGCAACCCTAACACTAACTCAGGCCCTGTCCACACGTAGCCGGGGATCTGCCAAAACGTAGATATTTTTCTACGTTTTGGCCTGTCATCCACACGAAAACTGAGTTTTTTCACACGAAAACGGATCTTTTTAAAAACTCCGGCCAAAGTGAAGATCTGCGTTTTCTCCGTTTTGGGTGTCTGCGTGTGGACAGACAAAACCGGAGTTTTAAGGTCCGCAACGTCACTTTCCGTGACAAAAACATGCTGACATCACGTGTGCGACCTGTGTTTACACTAGCCGACAGCATGGAAGCCTTCAGAGCTGCGCTCGCTTTATCAATTGTCCAAGCGCTTTTTGCTTGTTTGTTTTTGCAAGCGGAATTACTGCTCCTTGCGGAAGACCACAGACGAAGGACGAGGTTAAGAACGGGGGAAGTAGTGCCGCCTACAGGTCTGGCATGTCCTTAACAACGTATTTATCCGGGTACGTGTGGACAGAGTTTTTTTTTAAAAACGAGGTGGTGTGGATGCAAGTTTCTGGAGGGGCGGATATTCGTTTTGAAAAAAAAAACCCGGCTACGTGTGGACTAGGCCTCAGTTTACTTTGCAACGTAGATGTTTTTTTAAATCTCCACAAATAACACAAGCCTGTAGGAGTTCTGCCCTGTTGTGGAGTTAGCTTCTACTACGAGTTGGGGCAGACTTTAGGTCACGAGGAAGCTGATTCCATCTGTGTGCAGCATGGCAGCTAAAAGCAGCTTCACCCTGTCTGGTTCCTGTAAGATTTAGGAACTAAAACATGCTCTACCAGAATCATGCTTGTATGTATTTCCTCGCTGCTGTCTGTGAGTATCAATGCTGTTTTCAAGCCCTCATAAAGACAGCAGCTGCACCAAAGTGATGTACAGTAAAAACAGCAAAATAATCATTTTTAAAATAAAAAAATATATAAAAAACTGTATTTTATAACGTAAAATTAACCCTGTCAGGCCATATTTTACTTGAACACCATAGAATAGAAGTGAGTTTTTAGCAGCACTCCAGACTTAGTGGTAAATTATTCTATAAACCGGCTACTGCAAAAGCATGATCTCCTCTTCTACGTCTGGATCTCGGAGCATCTACTTGGTATCTATGATCAGTTTTTATGGTGTATAAAGCCCAGAGCTCCAAGTGTTTAAATGTCTGTGTTTTTTTGTTTTGTTTTGTTTTTGTTTCAGGAGCTTCTTCAGGTTATGCAAATCACCCAACAGGTAAATTTGATACCAAAATCACTCACAACCTCTCAAATGTTATTATCTCTTTGGGTCACATCTGTATGCCTCTGGGCTTAGCAGAAGTAAATGCACATCTTATGTAGTAAGTCTTGTACAATTCCTCCGGGTTACACACATTAGCTGCTCTTCTACCTACATGTGTTTGTTTTTAGGGTCTAACATATGTTGCATTTGTTTGATAAGGTTACGGTGCACAGCTTGGAGCTACCCAAGATGCCTTGGGTAAGCCAAAAAAACCCAGACCCTTCCTCTTTCATGATCAATTTCCTCTCACTTTGCTCTTTCTTATAACGGCAAAACCACACATGTCTTGTTGCATAATATCCGAGTGCAGCTGAGTGCTAAACAGTAGCTTTCATTTCTGTTTCAGCATCTCTTATTCTCATTCTTCCTTTTACACAGCCTAACTCTGTCCTTATCAAGCGTAAAGAAAGGCGTTAATCAGCTCATTCTTTCCCCAAAGTTACTTCTTTTTTCTTCATCTGAACGCGTTTGTTTCACTTGCATGCTAAAGGCTTCATGGACTCTTTTCCACCCCATAGCCTGTAGCTTGCACTGTGGGAACAAGAACCAGAACTCTTTTCGTGGAAGATCACGTCAGTCTGTCAGATGAAAAACTAAGTAAAAGTTTTAACTTTTGCAGGAGAGCAGGCTGGGAAGTACGATGGAGTGAACGCTGCCCTAGGTAACGGGTACAAAGGTAAGGGTTTGCACATTCAAATCCTTAATGTGTGGAGCACTCGTCCAATCAATACATTTGCAGTGGTCTCTAGTAGGAATGAATGCCTTGTAAGTAGTACTCGGGGGTGGGTGGGGTGGGGGGACTCCGGTGCACCGCTTCCAGGAACTAGAAGCGAGCCACATCACAGCTGAGGTTTTGGAGTGTTATTTACTGATATTTGGACATCTCGCCCCAAGACCGGATAGAAACGTGACTCCACCACTGACCTGCAACATTGATGTTTTATCTCCACAAATAACACAAGCTTGAAGGAGTTCTGCTGTGTGGTGGAGCTGCTAATGCTAACAGTTAACTTCTACTAGCTGAGACGTTCTCTGCTGTTTCCTGGAGGCTAAAACTACAGCCTTCCCCCATCGTGAGCCAAGATGGGTGAGTCCATGAATGCTAAGTGACAGTGTCACGTATCTGTCAGGATTTTCTAATCCTAGAGTTTCACCGTCTATTTTATATCAGAAGCTAATGCAGGAGACAGGTGTAGGAGACTGTTGTCATGTTCAGCCTGCATGAAAAGCTCACAGATTATAATCAGAAATAAAAAAAAAAGCCTTTTCAGCGTTCCACACCTTTAAAGAACAAGCTGCTTTTGTTTTTTGGGCAAATGAATTTCTTTAGGTTTGGCTTTATCATTGTAAAACTTCTCATCGTGTACAGAAGGATGTTATGGTGGTTTTGTGATGCAGCCATATAACATTTCTGTCTTCCACCCCTTCCTGATTCTGTCTTTAACCAGGCTAATGAAGACGACGTGGACCTCATCAGGGGAATGACCTCAGCAATGTTTGCAGTGTGAAGCATTTTCACTACTTTTGTATGTTTTACTCTTTTGTTCTCTGGTGCATCCTCACAACAGATTTTTTTAACCCCTTATGTTTCTCTGTAAGTAAACGTGTGTTGCTCATGTTTGTCTTTTTCTTACAAACCCATTCAGTCCTGCCCCCTCTGTCTGAAACGCTGGCGAACGTCGAACATTTAAAGTGTAACGAGAAAGAAATGTGTGTGTGTTTTAAAGATTTTAACCAATAAATGTCAACTGACGTAAAATAAAAGCTTGCGAGTGAGAGCATTTGACTTGAAATAAACCTGTTCTGCTGAGGAGCGTGCAGAAAGTTTAACCACTTCCTTTTCCTTAGCCTGATGAGGCCGTGGGTTTAAAATAAACATCTCAAAGTCATGAGATCACATGACGCAAGCAGGTTAGAGAACTGGCTTTTATTTTGTAAGATAAAACAAAAATTTTGAGAAATAGTTTGTAACTGAACCACAGCACAGCATACACAAAACCTTAACTCATACAGAAAGGTGATTCTTGTATTTTTATCTTGTAAATGGTAAATGGCCTGGTTTTACTTAGTGACTTCCAGGGTTCTGCAACCCCCCAAAGCGCTTTACAACGAACCACTCCCTCACCCATGCACGCATACATTCACATGCTAATTGTAGAAATAATTTTAAATACCATCTATTACAGTTTTTTAAATAGATAACACATTAATTACTCGATATATTGAAACATTCACTTATTCACTAATTTCCCTCTGGGATTAATAAAGTATCTTTGAATTTGAAATGAATTTGAATATTGAGTAACTTGCATAAAAAAGTAGATAATTTTAAATAAAAACTGAAACTAAAGTAGATTTCAGTTGAGATTGATTAACTTTTAGTTAAATTAAAAGCAAATAAATATATATAGATGAAAAACATTGCCATGCAAGCCCCATTTAACCAGACAGAGTGTTGTTTCCCAGGGGGTGTTTGAAGGCCAGACTCTGGTTCATGAGCGGGCGGGTTTCATCCACAAACACACCCATCTTCAACAGCACGGCCTTTGGGATGGGCTGAACATGACGGGATGCATAAAGACCACTCAGACTTATAGGTGAGGATTTGTAGTCACTACAGGTATTTCCTCCCAGATTCGGAGCACACTGCACATCGGTTTTAAAGAAAAGTCGGCCATGCTGCAGAGCGCACACGTCCCCCTTGACCCCAGCAGAAAGCGTTCTCAGACATTCACCCAGCAGATCGTCGTCCCAGCCGCTGTCCTGATCCCAAACCTCAAACCGCACTGTGCTTGTTGAGGAGAGATCCGTGGGGCCCAGGTTGACTTCCATGCCCCAGTGCGGGTTGTTGTTGTTGGGTATAACGTCAGAGCGGTGCACAGTCTTATCAGGGAGGATCACCTTCACATAGGCATCTGTTTTAGTAGTGTGGTCACCCCACAGACCAGCCGCCCGCATCACAGTGATGATGACTCGAGCCATCCCCTTACGGGTCGGGCAGCAGTCTGAGTTCACAGCGGGATTGTTGTGGCACTGACAGACGCAGGAGTCCTTCGAGTCGCTCCTGATGCCGTTCTGACAGGGCTCACTGCAGTTCCTCCACAGCCCTTTCTCCAGGATGTAGTGGCTGATGGCGGAGCGCAGATTTTTCCTGTCAGGAGTTGCGATGGGCAGCAGCTCATGAAGAGAGTTCAGGGAGTAGGAAACAATGTCAGGGTTCCGGGGTATCGTGCTCAGCCATTCTTTGTAGGCTGATGGATTCTTGTTTGCAGAAAAAAGAAGGTCTGGTTCTGTGGTCTGGCCTCCCTTTACTGCTGTGAACCTGTTGGAGAAAACATCTCTTCAAAAATCCAAGCGACTTAATTTTACAGCTGAGGAAAGACGAATGCATTATTGTTTACCTGTCGTTGAAGAGGTCGGAGAAAGATTTATTATTCTCCATGTTTTCAGTGTCCTTGCGACAGTGCTCGGCCTCGATTTGTAGAGTAGCTTTGACGCTTGCAGACGCCTCCGCCTGCAGACACATCCCAACCTCCTCCACTCCGAGGCCCTTCAGGCTGACTTCGCACTGCCGGATGCTGGTCACAGAGTCCACCTTTCCTCCCAGCTTTACCTGAGAACACAACAGCACATTCAGCTCACACATCTCCCTCTGCGACGTTCTCGTTCTTAACAGTCTCACCTTGGTGATGTAATGGGTGCCAAAGTCTTCAATCAGTTTGTAAAATCTCTGCTTGAACTGCGGGCTGTAGACTTTGGGAAGACTTTTCACTGCTCTGTTGAATTCTCTGTGTAATTTGGGAGTGCTGGAGACGCCGTAGCTGTTTTCAGCGAGACAAATCTGATATTTAATGTGCAAAAACAACAATCTGAAGGTTGAAACAACCGTTTAAAAACAATCAGGTTCTCTGGAGTTTTAAACAGTCACTCCTCTCTGATTTATTAGGCCAAGCAGACATGAGAGGACATCAGAAAACCATCCCTGCTCAACAGCCAGATGCTTCAGTCAGACACATGACGCTAATCTGGGCTGCATGGTGGGACAGTGGTTAGCACTGTTGCCTCGCAGCACGAAGGTTGCAGGTTCGAAACTCAGCTGCGGCCTTTCTGCGTGGAGTTGCGTGTTCTCCCCATGCATGCGTGGGTTTCCTCCGGGCACTCCGGTTTCCGCCACAGATCACAACATGCCCTATAGGTTATAAATTGTAAGTCGCTTTGGATAAAAGCGTCTGCCATATAAATAAACATAAACAAATAAATAAATAATCTGCTTTAACTATTAAGACCCTCAGATCAAGCTCTCTGGCTCTGACTTGTTTTAGGGAGATGTGGACGTTTGGGTTCCACATGCGAAGACGAGTGACCTGCATTGGTGCGAGAACATCACTGGAGCAGAGATGTGTGCTGAATTAAAGAGGTTTTTATTTACCAGCCACACCTCATCTCCACTGGGGGGGTCTGTGGGTATTTCAGTAAATAAAGAGCTAAACCTCATTCTGTGAAAAAAAATAAAAATAAAAATAATAATAATAACAATAATAATAATCAGCAGATGCATGTGGTTTTTCATGTTCAATTAGTACAACTGCAACTGATCCGTGTTTTCATCAGAAGGATGATTTTAGTTACCGTATTTTCCGGACTATAAGCCGCTGCTTTTTCCCACGCTTTGAACCATGTGGCTTATAATGAGGTGCGGCTTTAGTCAACCGGAAAGGATGGATGCTGGAAAGTCTAGCGAAGGAATGGTTAAAGTAGCGCTACGGAAAGCGCCCAGGAGGATTTTTTATCACAGTAAAACGGCGCTGCTTGTTTTCCCATCTTCACCCCGGGATGATGACAGCAACACGGAGAGCGACACTGACATCGCCACAGAAAAGGTGTGTGACGAAGCTCTTCTGAGGCTGTTCAACTCCGACACTGAAGAAGATGACTTCAGTGGTTTCAGTGCGCAGGAGGACGATGAATAAACTAATCAATAACTTTTCTGTTTTGTTTGATACTGATCAGTTCAGTTACGTTCAGTTAAACTACGTTTTCAATTCAGTAGATATCTGCGGCTTTTAGCCCGGTGCGGCTTATACTGAGGCGCGCTCTATAGTCCGGAAATTACGGTAGTTTGGCTCCTCAGATACGTTTCGATTAAAAGAAACTCAGCATAGAACCAAAAGAGGAAAACTAATTGAATGCATTTCAGTTTGCTGTTATTATTATTATTATTATTGTTACTATTTCTTTTCTGTCTGATCATTCACCTTCACTATGAGGAAGAAAGTTAATAAACAGCACAGTTAAACATGTGGGTAGAATACCCCCCCCCCCCAAAACAAAAACGTAAGTGTGAACCTTTCTTGTAAATGACCTTTGAATCTACTACAGCTTGTGTGAAACACAGGATTTGAGTGAGAATTCATGCTCTTACCTGTAGTACTCGCAGTACATGCTGGTACTTGCAAAGCTGAACTTGTCGTTCTTGGTTTTCTCCATGGAGTATTTAGACAGTTTGGATTTTGTTCCAGCTAACATTACCTTTCCCCCTTTTTCATTTACCTCAACATTTAGATCTATCTTCCAGTTGTTTGTAATGGAGCTGGAGCTGGAACTGATCAGAGACTCGCTGGACTTGTGAAGTTCAGAGGACACTTTAGCGCTGCAGGACTGTTTGGCCCTCCAGTCCACCACCGACAGGGGCAGCTTCTGCATTTTGTTCTCTAGATAAGGGTTGATGCACAACATGCAGGATTTATCCTTGCGTTTCCACTCATTCATGTTGAGAACAAAGGCTCCTTTACGCTCCATTTTGGTGATATCAAAACCTTCACCGGCTAGATTTGAGCCTGGAGCAAATTCAGCCTCCACACACTGTCTGGGTGTGCCCGCCATGCACGACTGATACGTGCACACAGGGAAGAACAGCAGAAGGCGGGCGCAGATGGAAAAAGTCAACAGGAACATGTTGCTGTTGACTTGGATGGATCTGGGCTGAAAATTAAGAAATATTTGTGGGTGAACAAAACTTAAAGGAGATCTATTAAAATATAGTAGAACGGTTACTGTAATGATGTTAGACAAAGGTAATCATCTAAAATAGAAGGTCTGTGCTGTTGTGGTCTTCTTTCAGATCTTTTTTAGCCTACCCTTTTGTTTTGTCCTGAGTAACCTGCTGGAGCTTTTTGATAATTCTGATATGAACAGATGTAAACTTGAGCTGAACTGTCATTCAAAAATGTCATGGCTTAACTTTTGGAATCTTTAAGAACTTGTGAGTTTTCCTGTGTCACTTCTCCACAATCGATCCTGTTTATCAGTTAATATGTACAATTATGGTAAATAGTAAATGCCTGTATTTGTTAAAGCGCTTTCTATAATATGACAACCCCCCAAGGCGCTTTACAACTCAACCATCCACCTGCACACACACACACACATTCACACACTGGTGGTGATAAGCTACAGTGTAGCCACAGCTGCCCTGGGGCGCACTGACAGAGGTGAGGCTGCTGTAGACAGGCGCCACCGGTCCGTCTGACCGCCGCCAGGAGGCGAGGGTAAAGCCTCTTGCCCAAGGACATAACTGCTACAGACGAGGCTCAAACCTGCAACCCTCCTCCTGATACAGGGCAGACAGTTAATTACTAATTATCTGCTGGGGACTTATTTGAGTCAAACTCATGACCTTGAACACGAAGTTGTGAGTTAGAGTGTAGTGGTCTGAGTGTTATCTTTTATCACTTTCAATTCATTTAATCTGTATTTATCTTCTGTGGTCTCACCACACGGATACAACCAGACAGAATCTGTTTATGAGAAGATGTACCATTACTTTCTGCATTTGTCTTTGAAAATGTCTCTCATCCCTGTAACCTGGAAGCAAAATTTGTTATTAGTATTATTTATTTTAGTCGTGCATGTAAATCACCTCACCAGGGAGACGTCCGCGGGTTCGTCTCGTTCATGATCTCGTTCTTTTGGTCACTACCCAAAGCTCATGACCATAGATGTGGGTTGGAACATAGATTGACCGGTAAATCGACTGGTTTTGTTTCACCACGACAGATCGGTACAACGCCCCATTACTGTAAACACAGCACCAATCTGCCTATCAATCTGCTCCATCGTTTCCTCACTCACGAACAAGACCCCAAGATATTTAAACTCCTCCACTTGCGGCAGGACCTCGTTCCTGACCTGGAGAAAGCATTCTACCCTTTTCTCATTTAAGACCATGGTCTCAGCTGCGTACCGCTCCAGCGATAGTTGGAGATCACGGTCTGATAACGCCAACAGGACCACACCATCTCCGGAAGCAGAGACCTGATCCTTAGGCCACAAAGACAGATCCCCTCTACACCTTGCACCTGGAAATCCTGTCCATAAAGGTTTTGAACAAAGGGCAACATTGGCAGAGTCAAACAAGCCCAATTTACTGCCAGACCACGCTCTGACACCAATCATAGAGGGTAACTGTCTGTATTAAGTGGCCCGGTACCCGTTACTCCTGGGGTATCCTCCACAAGACTCCCTGTTGGACACCAATGAACTCTTGACTGGTTGGGTGAACGACCAAGCACCCTCTAGGACCCTGCTAAGTGTTTTAAGCTAAAGCCATGAGGGAAAAAGCCATATAAATTTGTAGATAAAGAAATAAAAGCCAATTTTGATCTAAATCACCTAACCTTATTTTTACTATTCTCACATGAAGTAAATACCGTATTTTCCGGACTATAAGCCGCTACTTTTCCACGCTTTGAACCATGCGGCTTACAATGAGGTGCGGTTTTACTGAAGATTTTCCTTCACCTGCAGGGGGCGCTTTAGCAGAAAGTGAAACAGGTGGAAGTCAAAAGTGGAAATTGAAGAAAGTGCTCATTTTAATTTAGCACATGCAAGCAGCCGGCATGACGAAGAATCTTTTTCAAATCCATACCTCCTCATCATGGTAACTACACGTATGAGTTCACATGTTGCCGCATTTAAGTTGAAGGCCATCGATCTGGCAGTAAAGGAGGGAAACGGTGCTGCCGCACGTAAGCTTGGCATGAATGAATCCATGGTTCGGCGCTGGAGACGGCAGCGGGAAGAACTCATTCAAGCCAGCTTCACCCGGGGATGATGACGGCAACACGGACAGCGACACTGACATCGCCACAGAAAAGGTATGTGACGAAGCTCTTCTGAGGCTGTTCAACTCCGCTACTGAAGAAGAGCACTTTAATGGCTTTGGTGTGCAAGAGGAAGATGAGAGCGAATGACTTTTTCTGGTAGGCAAGTGTGTTTTATTTACTAACCAGTCATGTTTTGTGTGCAGTTTTTATTTTCTAATCATCCAGGGCTTATTAATGCTGTGTCAGCACTGTTCTTTTCTTTTAAACATGCAAATTACCGGTAATAACGTGTCAGTTCTATTTTTATTTTGTAACCATCCAGAAATATGAATGCTATCAGTGCTGTTTTCTTTTCTAAACTTGCAGGCACGTTCACCCGTGTTTAAAATTTGTTTTGTTGAATTAAAACAACAACGTAAAACCTCCGTGTAGCGTATTTCTGTCTAATTATCTTATGTCATGGCCGGACATGCGCTGTGCCCCGGAGACCTGCATGTGGCTGCTGCGCCACGGCTTGTATTCGAGTGCGGCGTGTGTGTGTAGAAAACCTTTTTTTTTTTTTGGTGCGGCGTATACTAAGGTGCGCTCTATAGTCCGGAAATTACGGTAATAAAAAAATGCATTTTTTGAAAATTCACAAAATCAAAGTTATCTGTTTTTGCAAATAAACCCTTTAATATCAAATAGGAAGAGTTAAGCACAATACTGCCACCATGCAGTCTTTAGAGCCAATTATTAATGACTTTTACGAATCTTCATCAGGCTGTGGCACGTCTTTGTTGTGGCGTTAATCCAGCAAGCATTACACACACACGTAAGTAGGAACAGAGGACCGGAGATAACTCCCGCTTTATTCTCTTCTTCACTTCTCTTTTTTTACCACAACAACCACAACGTACTCACTAGCGCCCTCTAGCGCTTCTAGTAAATGCATCTACAGAACACATGCAACAGTATGTGGACACAACAGTCTTCCACCCTGGAAGCCTTCGTTTTCTTTAAAACCTCTTTTTTTAAGACTCTTTACCCAAATCTGGCCAAGGTTGCTTCATTTTAAATGAATCAGACACCAAAGAATCCCCTCACATTATAGTAACCACCTCTCCCACTGCACTCACATAATGTTTATTAGTCATTTATTTTTGTTTGATATGGGTTTTGCTGGTCAAAATGTAAAGACACACTAATTTTCCATCCGCTTCTCCCACTTTGTTGCATTTTACAGTTGTCTCTTTGCAGGAAATGGCCGATAGTTGCATCCTGCATTAATTCATTTGAAAAAGAAACCAAATTCAAAGTATTTGAGTACAAAAATTACAGCATTACGTATTTTTGGTTGATCATCCGTCTAATATGAAGTTGAGCTTTAAAATGAAACCAACACACAAAACACTAAAATGCTCTTTTGACTGAGTTACTACTATTACTCATCTGAGTCAATAGTTGGATTAATAACATGAAAAGAATTTGTCTATGAAGACACAGGGGAAGACTCACCGATCTCTTCTGAATACACCTCGCTGTTGTGAAACTGACTGATCTTGAGTATAAATACTCGGGGGTTATGGTAAGGCGATAGTGATCTTTGAGAGAACACAGGAAAAACAAAGAGGTGGTTAGACGGTTTCAGCTCGAGCAGCCAGTGTTTAGCAGAAAGACCACAGGAAAACTGAGTCAACTTCTCAGTCAGAAAGAAACCAGAGATCAGAGTCCTCATTTCTCTGTGAAAAGTGAATCACACTTGATCAGAATTGTGCTGTGGCCCGCAGGTCCACCACAGAGTGTATTTGAGTCTTTTACTGAAGCAGGACTAGGCCTTAACTGAGAATACAAACCCTAGCTGACATAAAACCTTAAGATGCTTGAATACAAAATTATAATCGACAGCCCCTCTCTGGGCTGCCACATTATCATGGTGGAGGGGTTTCAGTCTCCCAATAATCCCAGGAGCTAAGTTGTCTGAGGCTTTATGCCTCTGGTAGGGTTACCCATAGCAAACAGGTCCTAGCTGAGGGATCAGACAAAGTGAAGCTCACAGACACCTTATGAATTTGAACATGTCAACACAGTGTTCCCTCACACGGACGCGGGTCACCGGGGCCCCCCTCTGAAGCCAGGCCTGGAAGTGGAACACATTGGCGAGTGCTTCGTGGTGAGTGCTTTCATCCATGGAGCCCGGCCGGATACATGGTTCCCCCTTCCCATAGGCTCACCACTCATGGGAGGGACCAAAAGGGTCAGGTGCAACGTGAGTTGGGTGGAAACCAAAGGCTGGGACCTTGGTGGTCTGATCCTCAGCTATAGAAGCTGGTTCTTGGCACCTAGAATCTCACCTCAATAGTAGGGAAAGAGCCTGTGTTGGTGTGTGAGGTTAAGAGCCAGAGCCATGTGTTGAGGTGAGTCCAGGTAGATATAGTCAGACTCACCTCATCACATGGCGGCAACCATCGAACCCGCAGGTGGACACCGGCAGTTAGGGATGCCGTTGGACTCCAGAGGCAGCTGATGAATACCAGCAGTCCAAATGGAGAGGAAGGTCATATCGGATGGTCAAACCTCGGCTTTAGGAGGAGCGATGTGTTTTTCACCCTGGCCGTGGAACACTGGACCAGCTCTATACTTTAAGGAGGGTCATGTTTGCCAAACCAATATACATGTGGTTTGTGGATTTGGAGAAGGCGTTCAACTGTGTCCCTCAGGGGGTCCTATTAGGGGTACAGGATTTTAGGTCCCTATATGACCGGTGTCAGAGCTTAGGACCAAGCTTGGGACCAAGCTCTGACTGCTGTATTACCGGCAGTAAGTCGAGCTCGTTTCCAGTGAGAGTTGGACTCTGGCGTGGCTGCCCTTTGTCACCAATTCTGTTCATAACATTTAAGGAGAGATTTCTAGGTGCAGCCAAGGTGTTGAGGGGACCTGTTTTGGTGATCTAAGGATCAGGTCTCTGCTTTTTGTAGGTAATGTGGTCCTGTTGGCTTCATCGGACAGTGATCTACAGCTTTTGCAGGAGCGGTTCGCAGCCGAGTGTGAAGCAGCTGGGATGAGAATCAACTCCTCTAAATCCAAGACCATGGTCTTGAGTCGGAAAAGGGTAGAATGTTGTCTCCAGGTAAGGGACGAGGTCCTGCCGCAAGTGGAGGAGTTTAAGTATCTCGGGGACTTGTTCACTAGTGAGGGAAAGATGGAGCACGAGATTGATGGATCGGTGGATTGGTGCTGCGTCTGCATCTGCAGTGATGTAGGCGTTGTTCCGGTTGGTCGTGGTGAAGAGAGAGCTGAGCCGGACGGCAAAGCTCTCGATTTACCAGTCGATCTACGTTCCTACCCTCACTTATGGTCACAAGCTTTGGGTAGTGATCGAAAGAACGAGATTGCAGATACAAGCGTCCGAAATGAGTTTTCAGGTTGTCTGGACTCTCTCTGAGCGATAGGGTGAGAAGGTCAGTCATCCAGGAGGGGCTCGGAGTAGACCTGCTGCTCCTCCACATCAAGAGAAGCCAGTTGAGGTGGCTCAGGCATGTAGCTAGGATGCCTCCTGGATGCTTCTCTGGTGAGGTTTTCCAGGCACGTCCAACTGGCAGGAGGCCTAAAGGAAGACCCAGGACATGCTGGAGGGACTATGGGTGTTTCTCAATGTCAAGGAGCCTGGCCTTGCAAGGCAATGTCTTGCAAGGCCAGGCTCCTTTCTTACGAGGACACTGTCCTGCCATGGTCAAAGAAAACAGTTAAAAGGAACAGACTTGGATCACGTGACTGCAGCTTCCATGGCGGTCACATAACATCACATGACACGGGAGACAACGTTATATTTTATACGTATAAGTTTCAATATAAATATATAATGAGCCTTTTACTTTTTAAATTGTGTACATATTTGTTAAATATGTAAGCGAGTTACTACCCGCTAGCCACCAAAGCTGCAACTACTAAGCAACTAACCAACCATAGAAAACTTCTTTGGATCTAAAAATGAAACATTTTAAATTAGCTGACTTACCTTTAAACTTGAAATTTGCCCCAAAGTAGCTGCCGGCTTCTGAAAAATACACTTAACCCCCCTTGCCTGCTGGTGGTAGTCGGAGGGACCGGTGGCGCCAGTGCTCAACAACCTCGCCTCTGTCAGTGCGCCCCCCCCAGGGCAGCTGTGGCTACATCGTAGCTCATCCCCACCAGGGTGTGAAAGTTTGTGTGAATGGGTGAATGACTGATAGTGTTGTAAAGTACCTTGGGGGGTTCCAGGACTCTAGAAGGCACTTTTTTTCTTCTGGCTCTTGTAGGTTACAGACGCTTTTTTCCTCCTCTCCTCCATATCTTATCCTCAAGGCCCTTTGTCTGTCTGTGTGTGCTGGGTGTACGGCTGCTTCTGCATTTTTCTGGAAACTGAAAACTGAAATTCACTAAAATAGATCTCGTCAGTTTGTCTCTCAACGCGATTGATAAAATTATTTTCAATGATGAGAATGGGAGAAGGGGCTCCCGGATACCTCTCCGGGACAGACCCAGTTGGACACATCAAGGACTCCTGGAAACAGTGGAACTTGATTTGTCTATCTTAGCTGTCTGTGGAGGACTCTGAAGATGTCTGGATATTCGTGGTGTTGGTGTCAGGTTTCCTGCTCATTGGCCTTGGAGGCTTCCTGGCTTACTGGAAAATTAACAAGCTGTCGAGGAATATTGGCCTGATCCCGGAGCTCAGAGATGGTTTGCACCGCGCTGTGGATTGACAGACTCAAATAATTGTCGAGATGAATCGTAAGCTTGGAACTTTGGCCAAGATTCATTCATTGGCACAAAAGATGGATGCCATCAAGGAGAGAATGGACGAATCAGCACGGATTGGGGTAGATTAACGTCCATTATTGGGATTTTGAGACGTTGAGGACCAACAAACTGTAAGACAGAGAGGAAGTTATCTCTGTCTGGTCCCAAAACAATTTCTAATCGGAATCTGGCGCCCTTGAGCCTGCAAGGCTCCAACGAAAACTCCTCCCTCAGAAGATATGTGGAATGTGCTGTCGCTATGGCAACTCAACTCTGTCTCCTTTCCCAGCCTGGGCGGGACTGCGGGAAGGCCGCTGAAACATTCCAGGGTCACTGCAACCCTCCAACCCTCAATGCTCCTCGCCCTATCCACACTGAGGTGACATGCGCTGCTTATCGTGGCTGCAGGAACTGAAGCTGGGATAGTCCCAACCCACCACCCCACCTAGTGGACACTTATGTTGTGTTGTCTGAAGTCTGTTGCATATCTGTCAGAGGTGTTTTTTTTTTTTTTTGCAGAGCAAAGCTGCCCTCCTGGTGGAGGGTAACTCTGAAGTGCCTTTTTTTTCTCCACCTGAACCAACCCTCATGTAAACCCTCTTATGTCTATTAAGGTAGCGCGACTCGGGGTTGCGAATGACCACAGTCACCAATTCTTGTCATGTGTCTTGCCCATGTATGTCTGATCTCTGAATTCTGTGTACTGAAACTCTAATTTCCCTCTGGGATTAATAAAGTATATTTGATTGATTGATTGATTGATTGATTGAGATATCAAATACAGGCTATTGCTGCACTTTATCCTTTTTTTGCCCTGAATGATTTTAAAAAAGGTAAAATAAAATAATTGATTTGTCATCGCAAATACATTGAATTGTCTCTGAGTAAGATATGAGCTCATTAAATAAAGCCTTTTCTTGTTATTGTCTACCGCAAAGACACATTTAAGAAACAGCATCAAGATGCAAAGCTTCATTTATTCATTTTGAGGAACAGCGTCAAAGAGATCAACACACAAAAACTGACAAAATAAAAAACACATTGTTGAAAATAAAGACGGATTATTGCAGACGCCTGTCTTCACAAAGCACTTCAACCATGAAAACAGCCAAGTGAATAGATATCAAAAACACTGCTTTATATTTCAGGTAAAAAAAAAAAAATCTAAAACAGTGTTTCCCAAATAAAACACATAAAAGTAAAAGCTACAACAAGCTGCAGGACCTTTACTAGCCACAATCCTTCCATGTGTGACAGTTTGATCAAATCAGCAGTAATCCATACTTAATTTTTCTATTTTGCTTCAGTTTTCAAGCACTTCAAATGACATCAGAATAATGACTTTCTGACGGGTAGGTCTGGTACTTTTGTTTGCTGCAGATCTTCTAATTTAACAAACTATTTTTGTATCTTGTTTTGTGTTTTAACAGGAAGACTCTGGTTCTGCCAAGACTCGTTCACAAACACACCCATCTCCAGCAGCATGGCCTTTGGAATAGGACGGGCGTGACGGGACACGTACAGCTTCCTCAGACTTTGATTCATTGGCGATGGCTTATAGTCCATGCACGAGTCACCACTCAGACTCGGAGCGCACGTCACCTCCAATTTGTAGAACAGCTGACCACGATTGAGATAACAGAGATCCTGTTTGACTCCTGCAGTTAAAACCTTCTCACACGCTCCGAGCAGGTCGTCATCCCAGCCGCTGTCTTGATCCCAAACTTCAAATTTGACTTTATTTACTGAGGACAGATCCTGGTCACCCAGGTCGATCACCATGTCCCAGTGTGGGTTGTTGTTGTTGGTAATGACATGGGTGCGGTGTTCAATCTTGTTGAAAAACACCTTCACGAAGCCATCTGTGGATGTGAACCAGTCACCCCACAGACCAGCGGCTCGCTGCACTTTGACGATGACCCGAGCCATGCCCTTACGAGTCGGGCAGCAGTCTGAGTTCACAGCAGGATTGTTGTGGCACTGACAGACGCAGGAGTCCCTCGAGTCGCTCTTAACTCCAGTCTTACAAGACTCACTGCAGTTCTTCCACAGGCCTTTCTCCAGGATGTAATGAGTGACGGCTGAGCGCAGATTCTGCCGTGTTTTTGTGTCAGCGGGCAGTAGTTCATGCAGAGAGTCCAGGGAGTATGAGACTATATCAGGGTTCTGTGGTATGGTGCTGAGCCATTCCTTGTAGGCTGATGGACTTTTATCAGCAGAGAAGAGGAGGTCTGGCTCTGTGGTGTGGCCCCCCTTTATTTCTGTGAATCTGTTCATAAAATAGGTGTTTCAGTAACATGATTGTAGTTCTGTTATAATAAAGACTTATGTGCTGAAAAAAGTTGGATAAAAGATCAACTTTACTCAAAATTTTAATACATTTGCAGTGGACTCCACTAGAAATTAATGCAAGATGTTCTCGGGGGGGGGGGGGGGGGGGGGGCTCTGCTGCACCTGTTTCAGGAAGTAGAAGTGGGCCAGATCAGAGTTGAGCTGAACACGGCAGGATTTGGAGTTTTTGCTTTACTTATATTTGGAAATCTCTCCTTGGAATAGTAAACATCAACACAACTCTATTTACTCTGCAACACTGATGTTTGATCTCCAGAAATAACAAAAGTCTGGAGGAGTTCTGCTGTGCGGTGGAGTTGCTAATGCTGACAGTTAGTTTCTACTAGTCAAGATGTTCTCTGCTGTTTCCTGGAGCTAAACCAACAACAGCTTCCCCGTTGCGAGTCAAGATGGGCGAGTCCGTGAATGTAAAAGGACAGAGTGATGTGGACCTGTCAGGATTTCACCGTCTATTTTCTGTCAGAATCTAAAGCAGGAGATAGGTGTAGGAGACCACTTTCATGTTTAGCCTGAATGAAAAACTCAGAGTGACCGATTGTAATCAGAGATAGTTAAAAACTGCTTTTACGGTGAAGTTAACCTTTAAATGTCCTGGTACATGAGAAGAACAACAGAATGTGTGAGAAAAACTGTTCCGCACCTGTCATTGAAGAGGTTGGAGAATGCTGCCTTACTGTCTGATTTCTGTATGTCCTTTTTGCAGTGTTTAGATTCGGTTGTTATCGTGGCTCTGAAGCTCGCAGATGCCTCGACAGCGAGGCACATCTGCACCTCCTCGGCGCTGAGCCCCTGCAGGCTGGCCTGACACTGCCGGATGCTGGTGACAGAGTGAACATCTCCTCCAAGTTTCACCTAAAATAGAGTTTTAGGAACATGTTTTGAACAATTTGCACTATCTTAATTGCTGGTAATAAAAGTGCTTTTAAATGTGGTCGTGTTATCCTTCTGGGTCACCTTGGTGATGTAATGGGTGCCAAATGTATCAATCAGTTTGTAAAAGTGTTGTTTGGTTTCTGAGCTGTAAACTTTAGGAAGTCGCTTTGCAGCTTTACCGAATTCTTGGTGCAGTTTGGGAGATCCGGACACTCGGTAGCTGATTGTAACAAACAGAAGAACAGAAAGCAGACGGAACTGAAAAAAGTTAAATTTGTTTTCAGCGGCATTCTCTTTATTTGATGCAGACAAAGGAATGTGTAGAACGAAATGTTCCACTGGAGTTCCCGAGCCCTTACCTGTAATACTCACAGGACATGCTGACACTTGCAAAGCTGAACTTGTCACTCTTAGTTTTCTCCATGGAGTAGTCAGCCAGTTTAGAGTTTGTTCCAGCTAACATCAGCGAGGCGCCTGTTTTTAAAGTCTGAAAATTTAAGCCTAATTTCCAGTTGTTTTCCACAGAGGAGGAGCTGGATCTGACCAGAGCCTCACTGGACTTGTAAAGTTTGGAGGAGACCTTAGCGCTGCAGGATTGTTTGGCCCTCCAGTCCACCACGGACAGGGGCAGCTTCTGCTTTTTGTTGTCCAGATAAGGGTTGATGCACAACATACAAGATTTATCCTTGCGTTTCCACTTATTCATATCAAGCACAAAGGCTCCTTTACGCTCCATTTTGGTGATATCAAAACCTTCACCAGCCAAGTTGGAACCTGGAGCAAATTCAGCCTCCTCGCACTGTGTGGATGTCTCATATCTGCACAACTGATGTGTGCACGGTGGAAAGACCAGCAAAAGGCTGGCACAGGTGGAAAAGGTCAACAAGAACATGTTGGATATGATGCAGACTGAAAAAAATGTATTTTCTGTTGACAAAAGAATAAAATATCAAAAAAGTTATTTTCAATTTAGAACAAAATGGCAAAAAATGTTAACACCATTGGTAAAACCATTGCCTTTTCAAAATTATGCCCCTAACTTATGTTAAATGAGCTAAACAGTGACAGAAATGATATGCCTGAATATTAGTGAGACCTGATAAATACAATAAATGGGCACTGTCAAAATTAAAGAAAAATAATTAGAACATTTCTTAAACAAAAATAAATTTTTGACTAATTTCAAATGAAATTAAACATTTCCTAAATAACTAAAACAGGTCAAAGCGGAAGAAAGTAAATTATTATAGTAGAAGACGCCAAATCATCTCTTAAGAGGACACAGGGTCCCCGGAGGATGTAAGAAGAGTTTCTAAACTACTAAAATCATTCTGTACATTTCGAAAGCATCCGTTCGTCAGAAACTCACCCTATAGTCCGCGAGTGCTGGCGCCTGCTCTTGTCAGATCTAATCTGTTGGTGGGATGCCTATTAGTGTGAAAAACGAGGCGGATTTTAATTGGCTGATCAGTACAAGTACGTTTCGTTTCTCTAAGGTGTTTGGGTTGAGGCCATAGGTGAGAAACCGAAGAGGGGTTGGTGGAATATACCTAGTCATGTGTTAAATTTATGTGGAAAGCTGAATGCTTGAGCAGGTCACACGTGGTCATTGTGTGAAAAAATAAATGGCTTGTTCACCACAGAAGGTTTCCAGACTGTTTTATCGAGCTTCGTCGTGCAATGTGCAAGAGTTCAAGTTAAATCCTTTCAGTTTATTGTTTTTGTTACGCCTAATGACTGGTGCAGTTTCCCTGTGGATCAAAATCTTCTTAATTTACGGGACAGCATAACATTAGAAACTCCTAACCTGAGCAGAATTCAATTGCATGAGCCGGAAATGCATAGATTAGGTCATCTTGAATAGTTATAGCAGCACATTTCAACAGTTTATTTTAGCGTAGGAAAAATGATTAAATATTTGATATTGATATTGAATGTAAGCCATTAATGATGCAAGTGGGGTGTGAGTGTGATGATGGAGAAGAATTCTGGAGTGGATAAGATGACGGGATGCAGAGTTTCCCCTGATGGGACAGATTTCCAATGGACACGTTGGAGCAGGAAACAGAGGTGACGGAAAAGTAACGTTTGGGATCCAGGACAGGAATGCAGAAGGACTTTTTGTGGTGGACTTATAGCGGAGGTAGAGTGGTAGGTGAGCGTAGCCAGACAACGTGGTGGTGTGTGTAGGATGGCTGGTGGAGAAAGAGGACAAAGTTGTAGAAGCGGAGTGTGGTGTCAGCGGCAGTGGCATCTGTGTACAGCAGCCTCGCCCCCATCAGTGAGATGCTGATGGTGTTGCCACCACCGTGTGACCGGATGAATGAAGTGTAAATGTAAAGCACTTTAGAGTCCTCTGACTCAGAAAACAAACCACTCTCGGCTATTATCACATGAAGAGCTTCAGCTACCCATGTGTTTGTGGCAGATGAAGCTAACAATAAACCGTGAGGTGGAAGAACTCCAATCAGGGGGGACTGTGGAAATAAGAGTTCAAGCATAGGTCAAATGAACAGAGTGTGCAGCAGAGCAAAAAGGGAGGAGCTGCAGGAGATGTCCTCTGGAGAGGCCGAACCTGCAATCAGCAGGTCAGACATTCCACCATCGTGGAACGACTCAGGTAAGGTCTGCATGGTCCTGAGCCTGGTGAAGGATGGGTGGTGCAGTGAATGTCTCATGACATGTTTTATTTTGCTGCTCTGGACAAAAAGGGCAGAGTGAGTTTGTCTAATGGTGGTGGTTGCTGAACCAAGACCTCTAAGAAATAAACACCTAAACTGCTGATTTTAGGATGAAGGGTGGCAACTGCTGCTGCAAAAAGTCTGTTAAAATTTAAATTAATTCAATTCAAATAAACAAGTTAATAAATACATAAGCAGAAGTAATAAATAAACAATTAAAACCAATATAAATAAATAAATACAATCCACAGACTCCAGTTAGAACAGGAAAAGAAAAACCAGAACAAAGATTTAATTGATGAGAAATTGAAGAAAGACTGGTCAGCTGGAAGAGGGCCTAAATTATTTCCAAGGTATTGCAGAAACCCGCCAGCAACCAGTGCAGAGATTACAAATCCAGCTTCAGGAAAAGGAAGCTCTTTGTGAAGATCTGCAAAACAGAAAATGGGAATCACAGCTGAGACAAGAGCAGAAGATCGAATGGATGAAATTGAAGAACTGAAGAAAAAGAAGTGTAAACTCAAGGACCCGATGGAGAATTTTTACTCCAGAAAAATGAGACAGAGAAGTTTTCTGGGGAGCTGAACACCAGCTGGAGGCAGAGGTGGACTGGCCTATCCGGCATTCTGGCACTGTCCCGGTGGGCCGCTTAGCCAAGTGGGCTGCTTGCCGACACTACTCCACAGTTGGTGATCTGCAGAACATTAGCTACATGGTAACCCGAAGCTAACAGTTTTTCCAGGCATTTTTAGCAAGAAAAATGTGGTAGAGTGATGATATAGGAGTTGTTTTACCGCGTTAGCATGTGGCTAATGTCCCGCTGATCTCCACCCATGGAGAATGAGCTGATCTGGAAGGCCAGGGCTTGCGGTAGCAGCGGTCTGGCCCTGCTTGTAATTTAACAGTCCCAGTGCATATTAGATCTCACATTCAACCTAGAGACGAGTCCGCGGGCAGCAACACCCCCCACCCCTACCACTCTCCCAATGGGGAGGGCCGACGATTTGTAAAAATGCCAGTCCACCCCTGGCTGGAGGAATAAACTTCCTTTTACAAGAAACTAGAAACCAGTTTGAACAAAGAAAATTATCATGAGGCTGAACTCGACAACAACAGCGTTCTGATCCGTGAGAATCCTCAGCTCAAACAAGAGGTGATGGACAACATGTCTTTGAGAAAGACCATTTAGACAAGAAACATGTTCAGGAGTTGCAGCAATTAGAGAAGAAGCTTGGAAAAGAGCAAGGGATTGGACTGAGTTTGGAGTCTGGGCTTATCCAAAATAGGGAGACAGCCAGAGCTCATGACCAAGAACTAGAGACAAACCTCAGTAGTATTATTGTAGACCACATGTGTCAGACACAAGGCCCGCGGGCCACATCTGGCCCGCGAGATAAATATCAACAATACATTAAAACTGACCCGCTGGTCGATTTTACAGCATAGACTACAACTCCCATGATGCTTTGCGGCGTTAGCGGAGCCGAAGCGCCCCCTCCTTTGTGTTTTTTTCCAGCGTCTGCTGCCGGTGTCTGCAGCTCTCCTCTCACTCAGCGCCGAGTTTACTCAGCTATTTGCCAACATTGAAGTCCAGGAATTGAGATTTTAACCACTCAGTAATGTATTCACGACTGAAAGAGAAAGTTTTCCAACTAACGTCCAGACAGAGCTGATATAACTCCAGCGAGCAGCGACACGCTCAAACCAGCATGACTCTGTGGCTGCTGTAGTTTTTATTTTTCCTCCCCGACACACAACAACGTGGTCAAGCTGCTCAGACATGTTCATCAGCACAAACCTATGTGAGCACCTGTCGTCATCTAATGTTGTCATTATTATGATGAAGATGAACAAAACCACAGGAGTCTCCTCCTCAGCTCAGAGCTCCTCAACCCCATGATGCAGGTATCTGGCTGGAACAGGTGAGCATCACAGTAAACCAGTGGAGCAAACTGAGCTTTAAATATGTTGGTTTTATGCTCTTTTTCTGCTCCAAAACATGAAAGTTAACAGGTGAGATGTTGCATTTTCATTTAAGATAAAATAATATTTTTATTTTGTTGTTGGCCCGTGAGAAAAGATTTAACCTACAGTAAACAGGAAGTGGAAAGGCTGCAGATAGATGAATAGAAAAGAAAATCCCTTTATTGTTCCTCAGTGGGGAAAGCTAGACGTCACAGCAGCGATGACACGTATTACAGGAGAAAAAAAGGAGAATAAAAATAAGAAAAATTAATAAACAAGAAAACATAAATCCTGAATAGATTTTTCAAATGCTGATTATACCACAAGTAACGAATACCACTGATGTGTTTTATTTAAAATGTACTTGCTTGTGTATAATTTGGTTATTCCACGTTCGGTGTTAATGCAAAAATAAGTTTGTTTCCAAATTAAAAGGTTCAAAATTGCATATACGTTGATAAAGAAAATGTGCAAATTTGTCGTCACTCTTTCAAAAAATATGAAGTTCGGTCCGCGACTTCGTCCCAGATTTTCATTTTGGCCCCGTGTGAATTTGAGTTTGGCACCCCTGAGGTAGAGCTTCAACTGGACCACATACAAGCTAATGAGCTGCATGGGCAGCATCAACAACTAAGTTTTGAGTTCCAACCTGGTTCTGAAGATAAATCAGAAGAACCACAAACATCTGTGGAGACAAATCTGATGGTGGGATTGAAGTTAAAATCAGAAAATCAGATTTTTTAAAATCTAATCCGAGTTAAGGATTTTCAAATTAAAGCAAACCCTTCACCCAAATATAAATATAGCCCCAAAAAGAGTGGTCTGATTCGGGTTCGAGTGCAGGTCTGGTGTCTCTACAAGCTTGTCAGGAGATGTGGCAGCAGGATGAGACCATGAGATGTTCTCTAGAAAGTCCTCATAGCACCATATTCTTCTTTTCTTCCTGAAATCAATAAATCAACTAAAAAGGTCCTTCAGAAAAACATCATTAACACCAATAAATACTTTGGAAAACCAGGGCGCAGGCTTAGTGAGCGCGGGTAGATGGAGGACAGGTGAGAGAATAGATGACAGTAAGATAAAATGATGATAAGATAATCATGTAAAGGAGAAAAAGGTCAACAGTTTAATCCATAACTGAATGCCTCTTTTTGCAGTGGGAGTGAGGAGCAAGCTGGTTATTAAAATTGTTCAAAAGTTTGAAGTAGTGCATTTTTTAGGTTGTTGAACCTGTTTTGTGACCCTTGCATAAACACACAGCTTTAATCCTGTTTTAAACTTCTTTTTACGTTCTACTGAATGTCTGCTATTACTGTAGCGTTGTGGTCACACATTTTAGTGCCCGTATGGTTTGAAGGTTTGAATGTTGCAGATGATACAGTGATCAGGGGACAGATGAAAGAAAACGTCTGTTCTCTTTGGGTGTAACATAAATGGACAGGATCAGAAATGAGGACATCAGAGGGAAAGCTCATTAGATGTTTTGTTCAAAGACGCCAGGTTGAGATGGTTTGGACGTATAGAGAAGAGGGATAGTGATTACATCTGTAGAATGGCGCCTAGGTCGGAACGGCCAGGCAGGAGACCTAGAAAACAACAGAGGAGATTTATGGATGCAGTGAAAAGGGACATGATAGCGATGTGGAGGATAGGGGTGAATGGAGCTAGATAACTACCTTGAAGGGAAATGCTGAAACAGAGTCAGATGTTTAATTATTGATGTCAGATCAGACTGAACCAATCATCAGCACGTAAAAGGATGAAGTCCATCTACTGGCTGAAGGCAAAGCAGCAAACATAAAAAACAGTGCATCAGACAACAATAAACCACTTTTATGACCGTTGTCACAAATTCAGCTTTACAAACAAAGCTAGGACTTCTGAGACCATTAAAATAGTTTCAGTCAGAAGGACCTCAGGAAAAACATTGCTTTGGCTCACCGGTGTTCTCTCATCTAACTGGGAACGCTGGTGAGACGTGTATGGACAAGATCCTAATTCAGCTGGTGTTAAATGATCATAAATATTCACAATGAAACAAATCAGATGTAAAAATGAATCGGAACAATGCTTGTATGTTGATACGGTGGAGACGTTCTGTGAAACTGTTCCATCTTCTTCTTTTTCTGTGTGAATGTGTTTGTGTAGGTTGTGATTTGTTTTGTTGTGGAGCAGGACTTGGTCTGTGGCTGTCTAGCAGGGGAGACTAGTACTAACAGGTACGAGTCATCTGTTCCAGGCATCAACGGTAGCTAGGGGAGGAGTGATTCATTCAGGGCTCTGAAAGGATTATGAGACGAACTTCATCTTCTACCCAGAAATTATGGATCCGTTTCAGGGCCTTACTGTGTGTGACTTAACTAACAAGTGATAAAATCCACGTCTGCTGATGTTTGCATTGATATCAAATGTTTATTAAATGTGAAGCGAAAATTATTCCTCAGACTTCCAACCTTCCAGGTTTAATTGTTTTCTTTTTTTGTCAAATTTGAATGAAAGTAGGAGCATCATTCATGAGCGATCGTTATTTTAAGTTCAGCCTTCAGTTCTAATTGGGAACATACACTCAGTTATGAATAGAAAAAAAATTCAAGCAATATAGGCTCCAACAAAAGCCTCTGACCTGAACTTTAAAATAGCTGTGATAATTTCTTATGCAGTGTTGTTGCCTTGCAGCAAAAAAGTCCGCTGGGTTCGATCCAATCTCTGGCCTGTGGTCTTCCTACCAGTGGGTTCTCTTTCACCCAATCTAAAAATATGACTGATGGCCTTTCTAAATCGTCCCTATGGGTGTGAGTGTGTATGCCTCTGAGTTGCCCTGCGGTGGACTGGCAACCTGTTCAGGGGTGTACGTACCGCCTGGTTGCCTGAAGTCTGCTGGTAAAGGGCGCCAGCCCCCACCTACCCACCCACCCCTGTGACCGTATTGATAATGGATGGATGTGAATTTAATTCTCACAATAGTTTTGTATTTTCTGTTTTATTGTTGTGGTAATTCTGTTTTATTATCACACATTTCTGGATATTTAGAGTAAGAATGGTTGTTTCATTCATTACCCCTTAATGACGAGGTTTATAATCCAGTAGTGGAGCAGAGGGAACTATATATACTGTGTTTCTGGCCTTTTCCACCATGTCTGTTTTATTTTGAAAAACGCAAACCGGAAGTACAGTTAGAATTTCTATAATTGACATTTTGAGGCGATGCAGCGGAATCAAGGCCGATAGAGCGGGACCAGCTATTGAAGGAAAACCGTCAGCTGGACATCATGCTGGGGGATAATTGGATTTAACTAGTCAAGAAGAAAATAATAACACGGACCGAGGCGCGTGTTTATGGAGAAAGCCGACTCAAACATATGTTTCCTCCTCAGAGACCGGACGTTGGCAACCGGCTGCCAACCGGCTTGCTAAACCCGTAGTCCTTCAAAATCTCCGCTCCCGAATCTCGGCTCTCATCTGCTTTCATAAGCGTTCTGGCGGACACCCAGCATCCAGATGGAGTGACACGGGCACGCGGCGTCTGTTTTTAAAGTAAAAGTCTCATTAATAATAGTCATTTGTTGTAAACCTGACCATCAAATCTGAATCAAGCTAGCATCCTCTGGAGTCGGACTCATTTGCGGCTTTCGCAGCATCACCGTCTGGGACGCGTTCAAGTCTGCCCCGCCGCACCGGAGTCTTAACGAGTCTTTAACATGACAAGAGCCGCTTCGTTCCCCCATGCTGCTGCTGCTGCTAAAACACGCACATGCCAAATGTAATGACCGTTCCCAGGCTGCACCATGCCTTTGTCTGGCCGAGTCCCTCTCCATCCTCCTTGCGGATGACACTCGCACAGGTACCGGGTGTTCAGAACACGCAGCGGCGGCGCAGGGGGAACCGTAGCTGGGTAGCGCCTACAGAGACCTAACCAGAGGTAGCAGCAGAATAAAACACTACCAATGATATCCCACAAGGTGTTGGTCGCAGTGGTCCTGCTGAACGTGTACATGGGTGTGCAGTCAGTCTTCTGCCTGTTCGGCGGAGTCCTCCTAACGGTTCTGTTCGCCATGGCGTTCCTGAATGGACCCCGGCTGCTGGACTGGGCCAGCTCTCCTCCACATCTCCAGTTTAATAAATACGTCCTAACGGGATACCGGCCCATTTCCTCTGTGCAGGACTGCATCCGGAGCCTGTTTTACCTGCACAACGAACTTGGGAACATTTACACTCACGGTGAGTTCAACAACCGAAAAAGTGTGGTGATAAAAGCACACGCTTGGTCAGCAGGTGAGACCATAACCCTGCACAGGAATCTGGCTCTGCACATTTTAGTCGATTATTATGAAAATAATAAAAAACTGAAAGAGTAATCGGAGCTTTTAAGCTTTCATTTAAACCAGTCTTCATTTTTTATTTTACACCACATTATAAAACACAACTTCCAACAAACCATTAGCCCTAATGTTCACCTTTAAAATAAACTGCTTTGTTCTTTTGGGGCAATAAGGGGTGCAATATAATGTGGGTTAATTATAATAATACTGTTGAAAAGTGATATTTACATGTAATAATAATGTTTTCCTTCTTTATTTTGTAGAAATTAGGGATGGACAATGTATCGGCATCAATATCGGTATCGGCCGATGTAGTCATTTTTAAAAAAAAAATATCGGTATTGGTCCGATAAATTAAACCGGGCCGATTTTAACAACCGATACTTTTTCCATCTTGTCTCCATTTGTTTGCCTGTTTCAGAGGGTGACGGGGGGATCTGTAAGTTTTTTAGTCATGTGAACAGTGAATGAAATCATTTCAGAAGCGTAAATGTGTGTGTTGTGTGTACATAGTAACGTAAATTCAGCTTTAATAATTTTCATTCTAAACAATACCTGCTGATTTTAGAAGCATTAATGTCAGTATATCGATATCGGTAAATATCGGTTATCGGTCATTACAGTGATCTTAATATTGGATATCGGTATCGGCCCAAAAATTTCATATCGGTGCATCACTAGTAGAAATAGCTTAAAAGATGTTTTTTTCTCTCTTCTTGTGACACACAATAAAGTGTTCTTGCACACATTAAACACGTTCTGTCATTGATGCAACTCACCAATTAAGCATTTTTTGGAGAAAAAAATTGCAACTTTTTCTTTGCAAAAGAACAAAACACAAATCAAAATATTCAAAAAAGGTTGAATGACGCATTGTGAAGGAAAATCTGCAGACATTTGTCTTCACTTCAAAACTGAGTTCTAGTTTAAAAATCAGAACAATGGTGCAAACTTTGATCACAGGCAAGACGGCTCAAGCTTATTTGTTGTTTTCTTTATTTTTCTAGTACAATTTGACTATTTCTGTTCGTCCATGTCCTCTTTTGCTCGTCCAACTAGTTCAAATGCAAACGTTTTAAAATTTCACTTTCTAAAGTGTTTCAGTTCCTTTGTACTCTTTTTCTCATTTATGCATTCACATGCATCTAATCTAAAACCCTTAATAACTGCCTTTTTCCAGCATTTCTTCTGGTCTCTGAGGTAACTTATAGAGTAGTCCTCCATCACTTGTGCAGAAAGACGTTCACAACTCTGCTAACTCTTTATAACAACTGGATGTTGATAATGAATGAATTTAGGATCATTTAAGTAATCAATTTTAAATAATTACAGCTCTATGATTTACTAGCTGTTGTTTAATGTGTTTATTCTGTAAGAGAAGGAGTCTTCCTGCAATGTGATTGGTCAGCTTCTGTTGCCTGACCAGGCCCAGCCTACCATTTTGCATCAGATCTTCTGAATTCAAAACTTTACAGAAGCTTTTTCTTGGATGCAAATTGAGTCATTTTAATAATTTTCTCCCCAAGGAAAGGCACTTAAATACTTTGTTTTCCAGGACAACGATCAGATAAAGGAACAAAAATCATCTTTTGTTCTATAGCTTTATTATCTATTTACCTCACAGGTGTCTCACGAGAAGAAAATAATTCAAAATGCAGAATTTGGTATGAAGCATCTATTTTATATAAAAAATGCCATGAGACAAACTTTTCTTTTAACAGAAGTCTTTCTAGAAAAAAATATTTTAATCATGTGTTCATCTCTGCAGCCAGAGTCTGATCTTTTTATCAACCTTTTGTTGTTTTTTTTAACTTGTATGATTGGTAGCTTCTCTAGCGACCCCTGTTGTTCCTCGCCAGAACAGATCCCTTATGTTAAAGGTCACGGCGCGACGTTGCTCTTGTGGCCGCCGTCCATAAATCAGCCTGCTGTCCTCTGAACTTTCTGTCTGCTTCCCTTCCACCTCAGAGCGGAAGCGAGGCGGAGCTGAGCAGGTGGAACAGTGCGGAACATCGGAGCTACGTTTCATGACCCGGCCTGTTTTGCATAGAAACTCCAAACATCCTGTCTGCAGCTCAGGTCTCAGACACGTTTCTCACCGCAGGGATTCAGAGGAGGCCTGAGTCCAGCCGGTTGACTGGGATGGGCTGGGGCTGGGGCTGGGGCTGGGGGTGGGGGTAGGAACACACTTAAAATAGATTTTACAGTAGATGGCAATAAAAGTATCACCTGCCTGGGACAAGCGCTTTGACTTTGAGAAGGGCAGTGTGAGCAGAAAAAAGGGAAGCGAGCGTCTGCATGTCAGAGAGTGATAAATGATAACAACTACTATCTGTGGATCAGATTTCAAGTTCTGGATCTTTGCCATGAGAACTTGTGCATACAGTGTGGCTTTTGAGCTTTTAGCGGGGTCCTTGTGTTTCTCCATGGGGGGGCTCTGATAGGTCTTGTAGGGTTCCCCTCTGCTCTTCTCGCTGCTGCCTGCACACGCTCAGCACCATGGACGTAATTTTCACTTGAAAAGTGGGGGGGACACGGGGGGGGGGGGGGGGTTCTTATATGCTCTAATGGGAAACAGGTTTCAACACAAACGGCTGTTTTACACTTGGTCCTAGAGCTCAACCAGTGTCAATTTAATATAGCGTAATATTGTTTTTGGATGGTAAAAAGTGCAGGGGTCAAAACTTGATTTTGGAAAAAGTGGGGGGGACATGTCCCCCCTGCCCCCCCCCCCCCCAAATTACGTGCATGCTCAGTACATTTGGAAGTTCCTCACAGCTTCTTCTTTCTTCATGTTCACTCTGGAGTACATGGTCCACGGGTTCCCAGAGTCCCGCACCAGATGATCCATCACGGTGAACATGACATGTTAATTTGGTTTAGTCCGAGTTTGCTGTGTTACTTCTGAGCGGAGGGGTTTCATACCAGCACGTGCCTCACCTCCGGCTGAGATTCACTGAAGATTTGGTTTCATTTGATTTATTTTAAGTTTTACTTTCTACCTGAACTCATCTAAGTGGTTCCTTCTTTCCTCCAGGCATTCCTTTGGTTTGCTTCCTGGTGCTGCTGCCGCTCAACATCCCCTGGTCTCAGATCAGTGTCACCTGGCTGGGGGTGGTGCACTTCCTGGCCTGCCTGTCGCCCCAGCTGGGCTCCGTGCTCTACCACCTCTTTATGAACCACGAGGGAGGGGAGCCGGTCTACCACACCCTCCTGAAGCTGGACGTCTGTGGAATCTGCATGATCAACACGCTGGGTAAGCCTTCCTACCCAGGAGCATTGATTCACCGCCGGGCACTTTGGATTCATCGTCAGCCCGTCGCTCTTTTATTGCTGCTCTGTTTGCGCTGAAGTTTTAATGTTGCTCTATTGATTGCCAATAACTTATCATGCTGGTGTTTTGCTTGGAGGTGTAGCAATATTGATCCGTCAGAGCACATTTCACCACATAGTACTGAGTCAGTGGTTGTGGAGGATCTAACATCTGAAATGATCGTATTTCACTTAAAGCCATACGATTCAACTTTTTCATATTTTTAAAATTTTCTTAAGCCAGTATGTGCTAAAATGACCTCTTGCAGGGTTATTGAAATGTCACTCAGACCCCCACTGCCACCTGTGGCCAGAATATCACACTTGCAGCTTCAGAGTGGCGGTCCGGTCCCTGTTGGACTTAGT